GTACCCTCCATTGTGCTCTTCAATGATTGGATCTCCGACTGGAATTCATTCCTGAGTTCTTGGATATCTTTCCATACCTCCATTAGCATGTTGATAATTTTTATTTTGAACTCCCTTTCAGGAAGAGTCATAAGGTCCATGTCATGTAAATCGTTCTCCGGAGTTATATTAATTTTACTCTGGACCAGGTTCCTGTGGTGTTTCATATTTGTATATAGCACCCTCTAGTGTCCAGAAGCTCTACTCTGGAGCTGTTCAGCCACTGAAGCAATGTCGTGGGTTGCAGGGGAGCGGTATTGGTGCCTTGGAGGAGGAAAGAGCTGTTTCCTTCTTCCTGGCTCCTATGCCTGTCTCCACTGCCTGAACCAGTGGGCCAAGCACACAGATATAAGCTTTTGTCCCAGAGCAGATGGATACAGATCCCTGCTTTCTGCAAGCAGCTGGAATCTCAGTCTCTCCAGGAATTCTGCCTGTATTAACTTTCCAACCCCATAATCAAGCAAGTATCATGAAAGCACCATGAAATGTAGGTTTCTGCTCCCAGAGCAGATCTCTGTAGTTAGGTATTCAGCAGTCCCAGGCCTCCACTCCCTCCCTGCTCAGTTTCTCTTCCTCCTGACAGTGAGCTGGGGTGGGGGAAGGGGTTGGTTTCTCCTGGGCCTCAACTTGTTCAATGAGGTCTGCTCTCTTCTCCAAGTGTGTGCAGTCTGGCGCCATCCTCTTTCCTGTTGCTCTCTCAGGATTAGTTGCACCAACTGTATTTTCTAATTGTATACGATTTTAGGAGGAAGCCTGTGTCTCTTCTCTCATGCCGCCATCTTTGGGGTCATGAGATTTTATAACCTGTGCTCTTTCCACTGAGCCAAGTGAAGAGTGTCCACTCTACAAAGCTGTGGTCGCCTGTGTGACCTTCAAATATGACAGCATATACGGTCTCTGTTTGTGATTCCAGGACACGCAGCTGGAGGAAAGTGCGATATTAACTGTAAACTTATGCAATATGCTTGCCCTGCAAGTGTTGGTGTCTTCTTACCATCACTGATTCTGGGTTTATTTGTTCCTAGTATGTGCCAAGCATTTAAACTGAAGGATTTCAACAGAGCTGAAGTCTCACTCTGAATACTTTTCTTCCACCTTCCAACTTCTGAGAAGTAGAATAGCTTGAGGAAGGGCAAAGGTGGAGAGATTAGGGGTTAAATAAGCAAGTAATTTATCCTGAAGTTTGTGGCACAGACCCAATATTGTTCCTTATGGTGAGACAGCTGCCAATATTCTTGCTTCTGAAGAAAAATAAAACCAGTAATTAGAAATGATGTACCCTGCATACTCTTTTTAAAGGAAAGAAATGGAATTTCTCTTAATTCTGCTAATGTCTCTTTTGTATCCCTTCTGGGCTCTTAATATATATAAGATGTGTGCTAGATTATGAATTGGCTTGAATTGGGCAGAGGTCTCTCTGAAATCCCTGGTTCTTAGCAGCCTCAGGAGAGGTGTTGCACAAGTCCTAAACATTCTGGGTCTGAAGCCATATCTCTGTAGTTAGGTATTCAGCAGTCCCAGGCCTCCACTCCCTCCCTGCTCAGTTTCTCTTCCTCCTGACAGTGAGCTGGGGTGGGGGAAGGGGTTGGTTTCTCCTGGGCCTCAACTTGTTCAATGAGGTCTGCTCTCTTCTCCAAGTGTGTGCAGTCTGGCGCCATCCTCTTTCCTGTTGCTCTCTCAGGATTAGTTGCACCAACTATATTTTCTAATTGTATACGATTTTAGGAGGAAGCCTGTGTCTCTTCTCTCATGCCGCCATCTTTGGGGTCATGAGATTTTATAACCTGTGCTCTTTCCACTGAGCCAAGTGAAGAGTGTCCACTCTACAAAGCTGTGGTCGCCTGTGTGACCTTCAAATATGACAGCATATACGGTCTCTGTTTGTGATTCCAGGACACGCAGCTGGAGGAAAGTGCGATATTAACTGTAAACTTATGCAATATGCTTGCCCTGCAAGTGTTGGTGTCTTCTTACCATCACTGATTCTGGGTTTATTTGTTCCTAGTATGTGCCAAGCATTTAAACTGAAGGATTTCAACAGAGCTGAAGTCTCACTCTGAATACTTTTCTTCCACCTTCCAACTTCTGAGAAGTAGAATAGCTTGAGGAAGGGCAAAGGTGGAGAGATTAGGGGTTAAATAAGCAAGTAATTTATCCTGAAGTTTGTGGCACAGACCCAATATTGTTCCTTATGGTGAGACAGCTGCCAATATTCTTGCTTCTGAAGAAAAATAAAACCAGTAATTAGAAATGATGTACCCTGCATACTCTTTTTAAAGGAAAGAAATGGAATTTCTCTTAATTCTGCTAATGTCTCTTTTGTATCCCTTCTGGGCTCTTAATATATATAAGATGTGTCCTAGATTATAAATTGGCTTGAATTGGGCAGAGGTCTCTCTGAAATCCCTGGTTCTTAGCAGCCTCAGGAGAGGTGTTGCACAAGTCCTAAACATTCTGGGTCTGAAGCCAAGGGCTGAGTGGCTGGGCAGCTTGTGCAGCTGCACTGTAAATCAAAAACATTCCACCTTCCTTACAGAAAGTTTACAGAGATCCAGATTTTTAAAAAGTCTTTTTATAGTATATAACTTCAAAAGAGGTGTATTGACCTCAGCTTGCTTAATTCAGAATGAATGGATTACAACAAAATTCAGATTAAAGGGGCCTATACCTTTGAGAGTGTTTCCATAATGAGAAGCAATCAATCTCACTATGGTTATATTAAGATGGGGTGTACCATGAATTCAAATTTTATGTTGTTATTTTAAGCATTTTAAAAATTTATTTTTATTTAAAATTTTAGATATTTAAAACATTTTAAGTATGTAAATTCTGGCCATGTCTTATAGTAGAATGACATACAGATTATAGGCATTTCATCCATGCCTCTGATGTGGTAAAAGTGAATCCAAGCCTCCCAAACATGAACTTGGAGTAGCCCCAACTCTAAGCCTGTGCTACTACAGAGCAGGGCAAGCACTTCAAAACCCTCCCACTGGGCTTCCACCCTGTGTAGCCTTGGAGCACACCCAACCAGATTCCATTTGAAGGCTGTGAGGAAGTTGTTTCACATGATGGCCAAGAACTCAGTTTTCGATGTGTGCTGGTGCTGACCGTCTGTGTGGGGCGACGTGCAGATGCCGACATGCTGCTTTGGGGCTGCTGTGGCCTCACCTAATCCTCACTTTTCTATCCACGTTCTAACTTTCATTCAGGACTATTTTCTTTCTGTCTTTGAGATTTATCCTGAAACATCTTCTATTTTATGTCTCATAACTCATAAAGATATAGCATTTATTTGTAAAGCTCACAATATAAAGGGAAAAGAAGTAAATAACACAAAGCCCTGGTTTTGAAAAGGAAAAATAGACATGAAAACAAGTACCAATATGTGCTAATACTTAGAAAAGAGGCATAGAACAAAGACATTTGAGACTTTTTTTGCATTCATAATGTTGAGTTTGGGATGCAGGATGACTGAGTTTGAAAGTATAGACTTTAGAGGCAGACAGATGTGGGCTCCTGTCCCAACTGTGGCCCATTTTTTCAATGTGACCTTGAGTCAGTTATTTCCCCTTTATGAATCTACTTCCTTATCTGCAAAATAGGAACAATATTACCACTAGCTACTAGATTTGTTTCCAGTGTCAAATAGGAGAATAGACGTAAGATGTGAAGCTGTTAGCATGGGCACAGTGCACAGCAGAGGCTCAGGGAGGAGCAGGATTTATTATTGTTGTTATGCACATTAGTAGAAAATTTGTACAGGTATGTGACTTGGTTTTCACTTTGAGCAATCCACTTCAGGACTAAATTTCCTCTAAAATAAAAGGGTTGGATTTAAAACAACCTTTAAAGAGACCCTTCCAGCTCACTGTGCTCACTTCCAGCTCCCAGCTCAAATCCTTGGGAATAGGATTGATAAATTGACTTCCATCCTGAAGTTTCTATCATCTAGGCTTCTTATGAAGAAATAGAACAGAGTCCCAAACTCCCGAATGTCAGAGGGATGATGGCATGGGTGAGGAAATAGGGATGGAATTTCTCATAGAAAAGTTCTCTTTTCTGAAGGAATGAAATATTAAGCACTAGGAGTCTGCCTGACAAGGAATGATACAGCCATATATGATATTGCAAATATGTGTCTGGGCAAGAAGAAAGAAACAGAGAGCCTAGTTTACTCATATGCACTTTTCATTCAGTGGATGAATTAGTGAATGAATGAACCTAACCTGCTTTGTTAAAATATTTATTTTCAATCTTAAAATCCTATTTCATGCCATGAAATGAATCATTCAAGTGCTGAAAATGCTTTAGGCTAAACTAGAATTGGAAAACGCTTGCCTCATGCAGTTAGGGAGAAAAATGATAGACATTGAGTCATTCTGAGGAATACGACATCATATGGAATATGGAAAGGTCATTACTTATTTTTTAATGTCATCTCTTAAATTTAAGGATAAAGAGAAATGGTTGCCTTTCTAATTACATGGGAAAAGGAAGAAAAAGCAGGCAATTTTGATCACATCTAGAAATATTTCTCAAATGTGAAACATACCTATGTGTTCATGATGGAGAAATTACAAATCAGGTCTTACACTGTGTCCCAGCCCATGAACTCTGAATTGTCTTGGCAATTTGTAGAGAGAGGTGATCCTAGGGTACAGAGAAAATGATTAACATGAATCATTTTTGATCTGGAGCGCATCTGGCTACTTTCATTGATGATCCAAAATCTCGTGTTTCTACAGGGATGGGGACCATGAGAATTACAAATCTGTAAATGGTAGTGGCCCTTTTTTTTAAGGCATTTCATAGATCAGAGGGTCAGAGAACCTCAGAAACTCGTTGTCCCTGGTTGCACCCAATTTAATACATAATTTTGTGTGCTTTTATGTGTGTGAGTCCTGACTCCCAAATAATATCCATAATAATTTTAGATGTTTATATTTTTGCCTTTTCAGATTTCAAGTTGGAGATTTTTCAGGTCATAATATGAAAATGCTGCTGATTTTGTTCCTCATAATAATTTGTTCCCATGTTTCTGTGAACCAAGATGCTGGTAAGGAAAAAAACTGAATTATTTAATTTTCATTATGCAAAGTAAATAATACATGAGTTGTACGTACTTACACATGAAGAGTTTCATTTTGCTTTGTCTGGTTTTGATGGTGGAAAGGGTGCGTGTAGCTCAATTTCTTCTTGATGTCACCCTGTGTTCCTTTGCAAAGCATTTGTCTCTGCTGCTTATTCTCTGTCACTGATGGAAAGACAAGAGAGCTGCTATTTTGCCTCATTTTCAACCCTTTTTAGGTCTTCAGGGAGGTTGCATGAAAGTTCTCTCTTAACATTAGGTTCAGGACTGGAAAATTTGGAATGTCTCTTCATAATTCATTTGTACCAAAATACTGTCTTGGTTAAGCATCCAGGTGTTTCCCCAATTTAAACTGTCAGTCTGCTTATTGTATTTTACCCTGAAGAGAAAACTCTTAATCTGTCTTCTTGAGCAATCTCTGTTCAGGGGGGCTTAAGTCAAAATACTGGCCCACCCTTCACTGCCTCTACCACCGCTTAAATAATTAGTTCTGATACTGGTCACTTTGTTCCTGGGCCACCTGTATTGGCTTTTACAGCTTTTTCAAGAACTCTGACCTCTGGAAGCAAATTTTCTGAGGAGATAAACTAGACGTTACCCACAAACATCTCTGTGCCGCGCTCAACCTAATTAAGTTTTTTTAAAGAGAGGCAATACTTTGCCCCCAGTTGTTCCATGATTCAGGCAGACTGAATGGGCCTTATCAGAACCTGAATCCACCTCATCCACCAGTTGGGCACATTTCCTTTCTCCACACAATACAGGGTTTATCTATGAATGGAGGGGATGGAGGGGTCACGTGTGGCCACAGGTCATGCCACCCCGGGCAGGGCTCCCCTGAAGGTCCCGCTTCCTCTTGGAGGAAGATGTTGATTCATCCTCACTTATTCTTCCCTGGAACTGCTGCTGGCTACATGGTCATCAAAGGACTCTCAACCTGGTTGAAATTATATTATTTCAAAAAAAAGAATGGTTTTATCCACTAAGTCTCTTGATTGCTATAAAGACAATGAAATAACATGCAGGGGTGCCAAAACTGATTCCCTAGATAGGAAAAGATTGAAGTTATTTTAATTTGATTATAATGATCTAGTAACCATGTCAGGTAATCATTCTCAGAATGAGGAGGGACCTTAGATATTTTCTGGTTGAATCTACTCATTTTAAAGGTGAGACACTGAAGTCCATGTATACTGAACAGCTTGACCAAATTTGTGGAACCAGCTCATAGCACGACACCATTTCCTGTTCAATTACACCTTGTTTTCCTAAACACACACTATTCACATATATGAGACATTTTCCTCCCCTCCCCAGGGAAGAAATGAACCTGATACTGAAGTGGTGAGAGCTCTGAGTTCAAACAGCAAATCATCAGCAGACGACATTTTGTGCTTGAATCCAGTGATTTTCTTTGACATAAAAATAAAATTCTACAGACGTAGCATTGAATCTGTCATCAAATAAAGACTTGAAAGTTCAGCAAAGTATTGTTTTCTTATATGAAAGTTATATTTTTAATAGAAACTAAAACTAGAATCTCTTTCTTAATTTAGTGTATCCTGGTTTCTACCACAGTTTATATATGTCAGAATAAATCTACCAATTATAAATCTCACTCATAGAATTCATAAAAAAGCACTATAAAGAAATTTAAAATAGATTAAGGTAATACCATATATATATTTTTGTGTGTATGTATTTAGTATATTTTTATTAAGGTATTATTGATACACATTCTTATGAAAGTTTCACATGAAAAAACAATGTGGTTATTACTTTCACTCATATTATCAAGTCACCCGCATACCCCATTGTAGTCACTGCCCATCAGTGTAGTAAGATGCCACACAGTCCCTATTTGCTTTCTCTATGCTACACTGTCTTCCCTGTGACCTGCCCCCCCACCACACACACCATGTGTGCCACTCATAATGCCCCTCAATCCCCTCTCCCTCCCTACCCACCCAACCTCCCCCACCCCTTCCCTTTGGTAACTGCTAGTCCATTCGTGGAGTCTGTGAGTCTGTTGCTGCTTTGTTCCTTCAGTTTTGCTTCATTTTTATACTCCACAAATGCGGGAAACCATTTGGTACTTGTCTTTCTCCACCTGGCTTATTGCATTGAGCATAATATCCTCCAGTTGCATCCATGTTGTATTAAATGGTAGGCTTTGTTTCTTTCTTATGTCTGAATAGTATTCCATTGCTTTATCCATTCATCTACAGATGGACACTTAGGTTGCTTCCATATCTTGACTATTGTAAATAGTGCTGCAATAAACATAGGGGTGCATATGTCTTTTTGAATATGAAAAATTACATTCTTTGGGTAAATTCCAAGGAGTGGAATTCCCGGGTCAAATAGTATTTCTATTTTTAGTTTTTTGAGGAACCTCCATATTGCTTTCCACAATGTTTGAACCATTCTACATTCCCACCAACAGTGTAGGAGGGTTCCCCTTTCCCTGCAACCTCTCCAGCATTTGTTATTCTTAGTCTTTTCTATATTGGTCATCCTAACTGGTGTGAGATGATATCACATTGTGTTTTTAATTTAGATTTCCCTGCTAATTAGTGATGTTGAGCATCTTTTCATGTGCCTGCTGGCCATCTGAATTTCTTCTTTGGAGACTTGTCTGTTCATATCCTCTGCTTATTTTTTCATCAAGTTATTTGATTTCTGGGTGTTAGGGTATGTGAGTTCTTTATATATTTTGGATGTTAACCCCTTGTCGGATATGTCATTTAAAATATATTCTCCCATACAGTAGGATGCCTTTTTGTTCTGTTGATGGTATCTTTTGCCATACAGAAACTTTTTAGTTTGATGTAGACCCATGAGTTCACTTTTGCTTTTGTTTCCCTTGCCCAGGGAGATGCATTCAGGAACAAGTTGCTCATGTTTATATTCAAGAGAATTTTGCCTGTGTTTTCTTCCGAGAGTTTTATGATTTCATGACTTACATTCAGGTATTTGATCCATTTTGAGTTTACTTTTGTGTATGGGGTTAGACAATAATCCGGTTTCATTCTTTTGCATGTAGCTGTCCAGTTTTGCCAACACCAGCTGTTGAAGAGGCTGTCATTTCCCCATTGTATCTCCATGACTCCTTTATCATATATTAATTGACCATGTATGGTTGGGTTTATCTCTGGGCTCTCTAATCTGCTCCATTGGTCTATGAGTCTGTTCTTGTGCCAGTACCAAATTATCTTGATTACTGTGCCTTTGTAGTAGAGCTTGAAGTTGGGGAGTGAGATCCCCCCCTACTTTTTTCTGCCTTCTCAGGATTGCTTTGGCTATTCAGGGTCTTTTGTGGTTCTGTTTGAATTTTAGAACTATTTGCTCTAGTTCATTGAAGAATGCTGTTGGTATTTTGATAGGGACTGCATTGAATCTGTAGATTGCTTTAGGTAGGATAGCCATCTTGATAATATTAATTCTTCCTATCCATGAGCATGGGATGTGTTTCCATTTATTTGTATCTTCTTTAATTTCACTCGCGAGTGTCTTGTAGTTTTCAGAGCATATGTCTTTCACTTATTTCATTGGGTTTATTCCTAGGTATTTTATTCTTTTTGATGCAGTTGTGAATGGAATTGTTTTCCTGATTTCTCTTTCTGCTAGTTCATCATTAGTGTAGAGGAATGCCACAGATTTCTGTGTATTAATTTTGTACCTGCAACTTTGCTGAACTCAGATATTAGATCTAGCATTTTGGAGTGGATTCTTTAGGGTTTTTATGTACAATATCATGTCATCTGCAAACAGTGACAGTATACCTTTTTCTTTACCAATTTGCATGCCTTTTATTTCTTTGTGTTGTCTAATTGCTGTCGCAAAGACCTCCAGAACTATGTTGAATAGAAGTGGGGAGAGTGGGCATCCTTGTCTTGTTCCCGATCTTGAAGGAAAGGCCTTCAGCATCTTGCTGTTAAGTATGATGTTGCCTGTGGGCTTATCATATATGGGCTTTATTATGTTGAGATACTTGCCCTCTATATCCATTTTGTTGAGAGTTTTTATCATAAATGGATGTTGAATTTTGTTGAATGCTTTTTCAGTATCTATGAAGATGATCATAAGGTTTTTGTCCTTCTTTTTGTTGATGTGGTGGATGATATTGATGCATTTTTAAATATTGTACCATTCTTGCATCCCTGGAATAAATCCTACTTAATCATGCTGGATAATCTTTTTGATGTATTTTTGAATTCAGTTTGCTAATATTTCACTGAGTATTTTTGCATCTATGTTCATCAGGGATATTGGTCTGTAAGTTTCTTTTATTGTGGTTTCTTTGCCTGATTTTGGTACTAGAGCTATGCTGGCTACATAGAATGAGTTTGGAAGTATTCCCTCCTCTTCTACTTTTTGGAAAACTTTAAGGAGAACTGGCATTGGGTCTTCACTAAATGTTTGATAAAATTCAGCAGTGAAGCCATCTGGTCCAGGCAGTTTGTTCATAGCTAGTTTTTAATTATCAACTCAATTTCATTGCTGGTAATTGGTCTGTTCAGATTTTCTGTTTCTTCCTTGGTCAGCCTTGGAAGGTTGTATTTTTCTAGTAAGTTTTCCATTTCTTCTAGGTTATTCAGTTTGTCAGCATATAATTTTTCATAGTATTCACTAATAATTCTTTGTATTTCTGTGGTGTCCATAGTGATTTTTCCTTTCTCATTTCTGATTCTGCTTATGTGTGTAGACTCTCTTTTTTTCTTGATAAGTCTGGCTAGGGGTCTATCTATTTTGTTTATTTTCTCAAAGAACCAGCTCTTGCTTTCATTGATTCTTTCTATTGTTTTATTCTTCTCAATTTAGTTTATTTCTTCTCTAATCTTTATTATATCCCTCCTTCTACTGACATTGGGCCACATTTGTTCTTCTTTTTATAGTTTCATTAATTGTGAGTTTAGACTGTTCATATGGGATTGTTCTTCTTTCCTGAGGTAGATCTGGATGCAATATACTTCCCTCTTAGCATGGCCTTCGTTGTTTCCCACAGATGTTGTGGTGTTGAACTATTGTTGTTGTTTGTCTCCATATATTGCTTGATCTCTTTTTTTATTAGGTCATTGATCTACTGGTTATTTAGGAGCATGTTATTAAGCCTCCATGTGTTTGTATGCATTTTTGTTTCCTTTACATAATTTATTTCTAATTTTATACCTTTGTGGTCTGAGAAGTTGGTTGGTAGAATTTCAGTCTTTTTTAATTTACTGAGGCTCTTTTTGTGGCCTAATATATCATTTATTCTTGAAAATGTTCCATGTGCACTTGAGAAGAATGTATATTCTGCTGTGTTTGGGTGTAGAGTTCTGTAGATGTCTATTAGGTCCATCTGTTCTAGTGTGTTGTTCAGTGCCTCTCCTGCCTTACTTATCTTCTGTCTGGTGGATCTGTCCTTTGGAGTGAGTGGAGTGTTGAAGTCTCCTAGAATGAATGCATTGCATTTTATTTCCCCTTTTAATTCTGTTAGTATTTGTTTCACATATGTCAGTGCTCCTGTGTTGGGTGCATAGATATTTATAATGGTTATATCCTCTTGTTGGATTGACCCTTTATCATTATATAATGTCCTTCTTTGTCTCCTCTTGTTCCTTTCTTTGTTTTGAAGTCTACTTTATCTGATACAAGTACTGCAACTCCTGCTTTTTTCTCCCCATTAGTTGCATGAAATATCTTTTTCTATCCCTTCACTTTTAGTCTGTGTATGTCTTTGGGTTTGAAGTGAGTCTCTTGTAGGCCGCATATAGTGTGGTCTTGCTTTTTTATCCATTCAGTGACTCTATGTGTTTTGATTGGTGCAGACCATTTACATTTATGGTGATTATTGATAGATATGTAGTTATTGCCATTGTGGGCTTTAGATTCGTGGTTACCCAAGGTTCAAGGGTAACTTCTTTACTATCTAAGAGCCTAACTTAACTCAGTTAGTATGCTATTACAAACACAACCTAAAGGTTCTTTTTTTTTTTTTCTCTTTTTTCTTCCTCCTCTGTTCTTTATATGTCAGATATCATATTCAATACTCTTTGTCTATCCCTTGATGGACTTCGGGGATAGTTAATTTAATTTACATTTGCTTAGTGATTAACTGTTCTACTTTCATTATTGTGGTTGTATTACCTCTGGTGATAGCTATTTAGCCTTTGTAGCACTTCCATCTACAGCAGTCCCTCCAAAATACACTATAGAAATGGTCTGTGGGAGGTAAATTATCTCAGCTTTTGCTTATCTGGAAATTGTTTAATCCTTCCTTCAAATTTAAATGATAATCTTACCAGGTATAGTATTCCTGGTTCAAGGCCCTTCTGCTTCATTGCATTAAATATATCATGCCACTCCCTTCAGCCTATAAGGTTTCTGTTGAAAAGTCTGATGCTAGTCTGATGGGCTTTCCTTTGTATGCGATCTTTTTCCTCTCTCTGGCTGCTTTTAGTAGTCTGTCCCTATCCTTGACCTTTGCCATTTTACTTATTATATGTCTTGGTGTTGTCCTCCTTGGGTCCCTTCTGTTGCGAGATCTGTGCACCTCCATGGCCTGAGAGACTTTCTCCTTCCCCAGATTGGAGACGTTTTCAGCAATTACCTCCTCAAAGACACTTTCTATCCCTTTTTCTCTCTCTTCTTCTTCTGGTACCCCTATAATGGGAATATTGTTTCCTTTGGATTTGTCACACAGTTCTCTCAATATTCTCTCTTTCCTAGAGATCCTTTTTTCTCTGTGCTTCAGCTTCTTTGTGTTCCTTTTCTCTATAATTTTTATTTCACTTATTGTCTCTTCCAATGTATCTAATCTGCTTTTACATCCTCCATTGTGTTCCTTAGTTATTAGATCTCCATCCTAAATTTGTTCCTGAGTTCTTGAATATTTTTATGTACCTCCAGGAGCATGTTCATGATTTTTATTTGGAAATCTCTTTCAGGAAAATTGATTAGTTCAGTCTCACTTGAGCCTTTTTCTGGTGTTTGTGGGATTTTTGTTTGAACCAGGTTCCTCTGACATTTCATATTTGTATGCGATGCCCTCTAGTGCCCAGAAACTCTACTCTCTGGAGATGCTCAACCCCTAGAGTGATGTCAGGTGTCTCAGGGGAGCAGTGTTGGTGCCTGTGGTGAAGAAAGAGCTGTTTCTTCCTTCCTGTCTGCAGTGCCTGTCTCCACTGCCAGAACCAGTGGGCTGATCACACAGGTGTAAGCCTATATGCTTTGCGTTTGAAGCTGCTATAGGCAGGGCTTTCCTAGTTGCTGGTTTGCGAGCCAGGTGCAGGCTCTGTGTTACTGTGGGGGGCCTTGGAACTGCATAGCCAGCCATGGAGCTGGAGTGCCTGAGGATCCTGAAAGTACCCAACCTGCTGGGAAGAGTGCACTCAGACAATTTTGTCTACCTGTCCCTTCTCTTGAGCAGTAAGCTCTGTGAAATCCTTGCCCCTTTAGCAGCCCTCTCACTGTTAGAAAGTCTCTCAGACTGTCCACCCAAAGAAGCCGGATATGGATCCCTGTTTTCCACAAGCAGCTGGATTCACTGTTTCTCCAAGTATTCCTCTGGTCTTAGCTTTCCAACCCCACTAATCACCAGAGCACCATGTAGTGTAGGTTTGAGCTCCCAGAACAGATCTCCAGGGCTAGGTGTTCAGCAGTCCCAGGCCTCCACTCCCTCCCTGCTCCGTTTCTCTTTCTCCTGCCAGTGATCTGGGGTAGGGGAAGGGCTTTAGTCCTGCTGAATCATGGCTTTGGTAAGTTACTCTGTTCCAGGAGTCTGTTCTTTTCTCCAGGTGTATGCAGTCTGACGCAGCCTTCTTTCCTGTTGCTCTTTCAGGATTACTTACTTTAATTATATTTTCATATTATATGTGGTTTTAGGAGTTCTCTGTCTCACCTCTCACACCACCATCTTCAATCCGCAAATCCAATACCATATATTTTTATTTTTATGTATTTTTTTAAACCTCATCAATTTGACACTGGAACATAAAACTAATATGTTTAAAGTTAATTGGATGACTATTGCATTCCTTAAATCTAATCATGATGAAAGATTATCTTTCAGTTTTCCATTCAAATAGATTTGTAGCAGTTTGATTCTCAATTAAAATTTGTTTCCTCTCTATATAAATTGAGGTCAAATTCTGAAAGAAAAAAATATGCAAGGGGAAATTATCTACTAGTGGTATAAAACCCAAGATTTTTTACTTCTCCAAATGTACCTATTTCTCACTAACTAATTCCTTACAAAAGTGATGCTTTATTTTGGGATCAGGTAAAATGGGAGGGTGTATAAAAGAATCAGCCCAAGATTGACCCTTGAACAACATTAGTTTGAACTGAGCAGGTCCAATTATATGTGGATGTTTTTTGATAAATATATTGGAAAATTTTTTGGAGATTTGTGACAATAGAAAACATTTTCTTTTTTCTAGCTTACATTATTGGAAGAATGCAGTATAGTATATAATACATATATAAAATATGTGTTAGTCATCTGTTTATGTTGTCCATAAAGCTTCTGGTCAGTAGCAGGCTATGAGTAGTTAAGTTCTGGGCAAGTCAGAAGTTATATGGAGACTTTTTAGTGGCACAGAGAAGAGGTGGGTTGGCACACTTGACCCCAGCATTGTTCATGATTTAACTGTATCTCTTTTCTTAAGAGAATGTGCAATTTCAGGGAAGGTATTAAAAATACAAGTAAAAGAAGAAAGTAAGTTTTTTGCATATGGTTGACATAAACATGGTAGAAGATTTTTTAAATTTTTGCTTTGTTTCTCGGTTTTGGTTTGTAGGTCCTGAGTATGCAGACGTGGTGTTTCTGGTGGACAGCTCTGATCACCTGGGAACTAAGTCCTTCCCTTTTGTAAAAATGTTTATCAACAAAATGATCAGCAGTCTTCCCATAGACACCAACAAATACCGCGTGGCCCTGGCCCAGTACAGTGACATGCTCCACACTGAGTTCCAGCTGGACACCTTCAGGAGCAGGAACCCCATGTTGAACCACATCAGGAAGAACTTTGGGTTCCTAGGTGGCTCCCTGAGGATAGGGAATGCTCTCCAGCAGGTTCACAGGACCTATTTCTCTGGGCCCGCAAGCAGGAGAGACAAGAAACAGTTCCCCCCAATTTTGGTGGTCCTGGCTTCAGCCGAGTCTGAGGATGACGTGGAAGAGGCTTCCAAGGCCCTGCAGAGAGACGGGGTGAGAATCATCTCTGTTGGGATGCAGAGGGCATCGGAGGAGAACCTGAAGACCATGGCCACAGCTCAGTTCCATTTCAACCTCCGGACGGCCAGAGACCTCATCATGTTTTCCCATAACATGACGCAAATCATCAGGGATGCAGCCCAGCACAGGGAAGGAGCAGCCAATGACACTCTTGTAAAAGGTGGGTTTAGGGCACATGTGCAGAAATGATGATAAAATGCTTTGAAACACCAATGTTGGGGAAGGATTAAAACTCTCTGAACATGCAATTCCCCAAAAGCTGGGCTGTATTTTCAGATGTTAAATATCAATTTGTTCACGAGGCCCCATAACTGTGGCCATTTCTAACCCAATGAGCCCCCAAGCCTTAGTGTTCCTACTTTTGCATATCTATGTTGCAGGCCATTTACAGGCTTCTTAAAATTCAGTGACACCTCCTCCCTGCCACCCAGCTCATCCCTGAGCTATCTCCTTGGGATTTAGTTGTTATGAGTTTTATTACTTGTTCATTTAAAAGTTATGGTTCTTCCATAAAATGCCTGGACTCCTGAAGTGACATAATATGATCACAGAATGTTAGCACTAGAAACAACCCTTTTCTGCAGAGGAACTTGCAGGTGTCCTGGGAGTTTGTGTGGGCTGGCCTAGTCCAGGCTGGGGACTTGGTCAGGCCTCCAGTCCCATGGGTTTCAGTCCCACACTGCCCCCATCCTGCTGTCTTACTCCAAATCAGCTTCCCTGTTCTGTTCCATTCCAATTCACTGTCCTGCACTGTTAGTAGAAGAGTATGCCTTCTACTAATAAGAATGGCCAGGGGTTTATGAATGTCATTCAAGTGAGAGTCAGGGGAAAGTCAGTTAGAAAAACAGTGCTCAAAATGTGCAAGTCCAAATAAGTAGCACAGGAAACTCACATTATTTCTGGCTTAATTCACTTGAATGAAATGATAAATAAAATTTTCTGTTGATAATTGAAAATGTTTTTCTTATGGTAATCTATGAAAATACGAATTCTATTATTGGCATCTTTTCCAAATAACATAATGGAAAGTGAAATTGCTCTTCCAGTACCATTGTTTAGTTATATTTGAACTCTATTGATTTTAACAGTGATGATGCTTAAGTAATTTTAATATGACAATATTGATGGCTATTCATTCAATAACTTTTATGTATCAGGCCACATGCTAAGCACCGCATCTCAGTTAATCCCCAGAACAGCCCCATGAGATAAATATTATCTCCAACTTACAGATGAGGAAACTGAAGAAGGGAGTTTAGTTAATATCCGGTGTTTGAGCCCAGGACCCTCTGATCTCAGCTTCATTATCATTTTGTTTACGTGCTTCATCCATTCAATGCACGACCAAGTTCTGGTAGAGGTTCTCCATGCCTTCTAATGCTGAGCAGAGTTGCTGAACCTCCCACTAAAACTGTGCCTGTTCATTCCCTGCCCACACAGGGTGCCAAGGCCCGTCAGTGGCTGATGTGGTGTTCCTGCTGGATGTGTCAATTAATGGCAGCCAGGAGAACTTTGATTATCTTAAAGAATTCCTGGAAGAAAGTGTGTCTGCCCTTGACATAAAGGAAAACTGCATGAGGATCAGCCTTGTGGCTTACAGCAATGAGACAAAGGTGATAAATTCACTGAGCAGGGGCATCAATAAGTCAGAGGTTCTCCAGTATATACAGAACCTCTCTCCCCAGATCGGGAAGGCCTACACGGGAGCTGCTCTCAGAAGGACTAGGAAGGAGATCTTCAGTGCACGAAATGGCAGTAGGAAGAATCAGGGGGTGCCCCAGATCGCCGTGCTGGTGACCCACAGACCCTCAGAGGACAACGTGACCAAGGCAGCCGCTAACCTCCGGCGTGAGGGCGTGACCATCTTCACCATGGGCATAGAGGGGGCCAGCAACCCCCAGCTGGGAAAGATAGCATCTCATCCTGCCGAGCAGTATGTCTCCAGGCTGAAAACCTTCTCCGACCTGGCTGCTCACAACCAGACATTTCTGAAGAAGCTGCGGAACCAAATAACGCACACAGTCTCCGTCTTTTCGGAATGGACCGAAACACTCAAATCCGGTATGGTCTTCTGCTGGGAGAAGGATTATTCTGAACCTTCTGTTTTCTTATCTTTCAGGTATTATATATTTAAAAAGGATTGGCAGGCTATGATGTGGGTAGGGAGAATAATTTCCAAATTTTTCACTTTAACTGGATTATATGAAGTGTAAATTGGGAGAGGTGTGAATGGGAAGAAGGGATTTCCCTCTTCCTCTTCTGCACAGCTTTCCCGTTCCCTGCAATACCTTCCTCTGCTGTTTTTCTCCCTTCACTTTTTCCCTCTCCTTTGCCTCTTATATCCCCCTATTCTTTCCTTTCTTTTTCTTTTTGTGCTTTTCTCTCTTTTCTTCCACAATCCTCAAATTTCAAGTTAGAGGACAAAGAGGAAACATGATTTGCATCGAGGACAGAGTGACTGATGTGTTAAGTCTTATTCTAGCACCTATGAGTTTAGAGAGACAGCAATATATTTTATGTATTTCATATATATGCACATGTATGTTGTATAAATTATGTATACATAGGCATATATGTATACACTTGTCAACAAATTTATAGCATGCTTACTATAAAAGTGTCATTGTCCAACACAAATAAGGCCACTGACAATATCCCTAGTTTTGTTAATTGACTAGGAAGAAGTGAGAAGTAAACAATTTAAGATTTCAAGAAAGGGAACTCACTCATCCAAAAGCTCCAGTTAAACACCTTCTCTATTTCACAACACACCACCTGCCATTTGGTAAGTGGGCATTCACTAATGAGAGTAGAGACTTGTAAAGAGCATCTTTGAGTTTTCTTCCTAATCTATTACTACATCCAGATTTACCCTGACTCATGACAGAGAATTATCCCAATAGTCTTCAACTGTCCACAGCAATTCATCTGCCCAACAGCTAAGATTCCTCTCCATTAAGCTAGCAGACCCCCCAGAAGGTGTTTCCCATGTTTCTGTCTGAAGACACTCCTGTATGTTCCTGCCATCTTCTCCCACTTGCCTCCAGGCCACATTTAACTTTTTGGTTCTGTTTTAGGTTGTGTGGACACAGAAGAAGCAGACATCTACCTGCTCATTGATGGCTCTGGGAGCACGCAGGCCACAGACTTCCAAGAAATGAAGACCTTCCTGTCAGAGGTCGTAGGGATGTTCAACATTGCTCCCCAAAAAGTGCGGGTTGGGGCTGTTCAGTACGCTGACAACTGGGACTTGGAATTTGAGATCAATAAATACTCTAACAAGCACGATTTGGGAAAGGCCATTGAGAACATCAGGCAGATGGGTGGGAACACAAACACAGGTGCAGCCCTGAATTACACACTGAGGCTATTGCAAAAAGCAAAGAAGCAGCGAGGAAACAGAGTGCCATGTCATCTTGTTGTCCTGACGAATGGCATGTCCAAGGACAGCATCTTGGAGCCTGCAAGAAGACTGAGAGAAGAGCTCATCCACGTTTATGCCATTGGGGTGAAGGAGGCCAACCAAACACAGCTGCGAGAAATTGCTGGCATGGAAAAGAGGGTGTACTACGTGCATGACTTTGATTCTCTGAAAGACATTAGAAACCAAGTTGTTCAAGAAATCTGTGCTGAAGAAGGTAGGAGATTCAGTGGCTTTAACTTTAGACTTCAGTTCACAAACTGCCTTGCTGCAATACTGGACATTGCACGCTTAGAGAAACATCAGTTTCCAAGTTGAGATTTGCTGACTTGTGTAGCTGTGCTTGTTCTCCAGACCAAAACTAAGAATCTGCTATAGTGTTGCTCTAATTAATATCTGAAGCATAAGAAAGATATTTGGAGGAGTTTTACCTAACAAGTATTCATTAGCTTCTTCCCACAAACCCCTGCTAGGATAGATGTGTGATTAGACACTGTATGTATAATATGATCAAATGAATTCTGATTTTAAGGAGCACATCTGGTTTATTTCAACTGCTTTTTAAAAAAGATTCCATGTAATCTTTTAGAGCTGTATCAGTAGTCTCCAACCCAGGGCTGATTTTGCCCCCTCAGGGGACACTTGACAATGTCTAAAGACATTTTGGTTGTTGTAACTTGGGGAGTGCTACTGGCTTCTAACCAGTCAAAGTCAGAGATGTTAGTAAACATCATACAGTATACTATGTGCACAGACTGCCCTCAATAGTAAAAATTATCTGGCCCAAAATATCAACTATGTTGAATTTGAGATACCAAGTTAAATATTAAGGCAAATTACTAAACAGCACATGCAATTGTCTCATTTCTATTGCCTTCAGTGCTTTAACTACATGCTAACAATCTTCTCCAAGCATACACTTAACTTCAATATAGGATTGTCTGTGTTTGGATTTTCTTATTCTCCTTTAATCTTTTCACATGAAGCTAACTTGAATAAACATCTTGCTTTCTCCCACACAGCCTGCAAAAACATGAAAGCTGACATTATGTTTCTGGTGGACAGTTCTGGCAGTATAGGACTTGAAAACTTCGTCAAAATGAAAACATTTATGAAAAACCTGGTGAGCAAATCCCAGATTGGGGCAGATCGGGTACAAATTGGCGTAGTCCAGTTCAGCGACATCAACAAGGAGGAGTTTCAGCTCAACAGATACGTGTCCCAAAGTGAAATTTCAGAGGCAATAGACCAAATGGGTCACATTGGGGAAACCACCTTGACGGGTAGCGCTCTGACGTTTGTTTCTCAGTACTTCAGCCCCGCCAAGGGGTCCCGGCCCAACGTCAGGAAGTTTCTCATCCTCATCACAGATGGTGAAGCTCAGGACATAGTCAAGGACCCAGCAGTAACACTTCGGCAAGAAGGTGTAATTATCTACTCTGTGGGGGTGTTTGGCTCCAATGTCACCCAGCTGGAGGAGATCAGTGGGAGGCCAGAGATGGTTTTTTATGTTGAGAATTTTGACATTCTGCAGCACATCGAAGATGACCTCGTTTTTGGGATATGCAGCCCCCGCGAAGGTAGGCACAGGAAAATCCACTAATGAACATGTCCACATGGCCATGTTAGCATGTGTTTGAATTAAGTTGGTGCAGTTGAAACATTGTACACTTTTGTTTGTTGAAATGGTTATCCAAGCGGCTTTTGACTGCATGTGAAATGCAACTTTCCTCAGTGGAACAGTTGAGTTAGGAACAATTTTGCTACACTTAGATTCTTTCCATTTGCAGAGAAAGAGCCCTAAGTGGTGAGTCTTCCGTTTGAGAATAGTGGCGCTCTCCCAGGTGCTTAGGTTCGGCTCTGGAAGAGAAGCTGAGTCGGGGCTTCACCACTGAGGAGGTGTTTTCAGAGAGGGGTAAGGGGAGCAGGGCAGGGCACAGGTGGGAGCTGGCGAAAAGGCAGAGTCGAGCGTCAGCGTGGCCCCAGGGGGCTCCAGAGCATGAACGACAGCACAGAGTCACTTCCACCCTGCAGTGAGGGCCCAGCCCCACGGAACCGCGCTTAGGCCGCGTGTGGGTGGCAGAGGCCATCAGATTGTGCCCATCAGGGAGGGAGGGGCACGACCCCCTGCGCAAGGCGGCTCCCTTGACTTAACGTCTACATATGTTTGTTTATTTTACAATTCTAAAAAACGAATACTTGTATAAACTTAGATAATGTTTGTAAAAACACTTTGAGTTTATTAAATCCTATAAAGGAGGAATGCAGTATGGGAACTCAAGCTACTGGGGCTTCAAAGGGAGTAAATACTACAGTCCCCGTCTCTGTTCTCCAACCATGGAACTACAGAGTGACAGGAGTGATAAGACACAACCTCAGCAGACATAAGGACTGACGGGTATTGTGACCCAGTGGGCATGATGGCAGAAAAATTCTGAAAAATATCCATAAAGGAGTTGGATTTTAATGGAATTGTGAGGGAAGAGATAAACATTGTTCTGTGATTCAAATAAGAGTTCTGTTCACCTCCCATTAGAATGTTTGGTGATTGCGATCTGTGTTTTGTGGGAAGAAGAGCATGCCAGGATTTTATTTCCTGGTAATTACACTCAGAACAAATCTAAACTCTTTCGTAAGTGCCAACACTGAGCAATCTACCCCCAAACCCCCAGGTCATCCAGGCTGCCTTCCCTGGACAGCCAAAGGCCAGGGAATGTAGTATCTTCTTTTGTGGAACCAGCCTTTCTTGAGAATTTGGTCTATGGCTCATGCTCAGAGCCTCTAGTAAGTGGGTCGAGTGCATTGACTCTAAGGTTTCTGTATAGCGGCACGTGGCAGGCCAAAGAAAGAAATGTGGGGAGCCTCTGAGTGTGGAGGTGGGGTGGGGGTACTTCCTTACAATTCCATTTCTTCAGAATGGATGAGTTAGCATTTAGAACATAGCTTTTTTTAAAATTTAAGTATAGTTGACATAATATTAGTTTCAGATGTGCAACATAGTGATTTGACATTTATACACATTACAAAATGCTCCCCATGATAAGTCTAATTACCATCTGCCACCATACAAAGTTATTACAATATTATTTGCTATATTCTCTATTTTCCACTTTTCATCCCTGTGTCTTAGTTTATAATTGGAAGTTTATATACCTCTTTATCCCCCTCACCTATGGCTATGCCCCCTCCCTTATGGTAACCACCAGGTCTCTGTATTTTTTAGTCTATTTCTTTTTTGTTTGTTTGTTCATTTGTTTTGTTTTTTAGATTCCACATGTAAGTGAAATCATATGATATCTGTCTTTCTCTGGCTAATTTTACTGAGCATAATACCATGTAGGGCCATCCATATTATTGAAAATGGCAAGATTTCATTCTTCTTTATGACAGAGTAATTTTCCATTGCATATATACCACATATTCTGTATCCATTCATCTATCAATGAACACTTAGTTTGTTTTGATATCTTGGCTGTTGTAAATAATGGTGCAATGAACATAGGGGTGAATGTACCTTTTAAAATTATTGTTTCTGTTTTCTTAGGATAAATACCCAAAAGTGGGATTGCTGTATGGTATAATAGTTCTGTTTTTAATTTTTGAAAAACCTCCATATTGTTTTCCATAATGGGTGCACAAGTTTATATTCCCCCCAACAATATGGGAGGGTTCCCTTTCTCCACATCCTTGTCAACACTTGTTATTTTTTGTGTTTTTGATATTAGCCATTCTGACTGGTGTGAGGGGATATCCCATTGTGGTTTTGGTTTGCATTTCCCTGATGATTAATGATGTGGAGCATCTTTTCATGTGCCTGTTGGCTGGAATAGGCCTTTCTAAGGCCTGTAGAAATTGTACTACATGAGGACTAAATCCTTAACCATTTTACAATCCCTCTTCTTCAGACTGAAAGAGTTGGAGTTTAGAACTCTGTACCTTTAGATAGAATATGCTACACACACATGGGTTAACTACTAATTGAGTCTGTCCTGCTTTACTTTTCCATGGCATTGACCCGAAGTTTGAAATTTAATAGGAACATCATGCTAGGAGCAGTTAGCTGGGCCAAGTGTGAAATGGGCTTCTTTCTATGAGGTGGCCCAGTAATGAAAATAGATTATGTTTCAAGAAAGTCAAAAAGGAAGAAAAATGCAACCTTGAAAATTCAGTCATTATATAACCATGAAAAAATATAATATTGTCAAAATCACTTTAACTTTATAATTTCTACAAGGTTTTATCTTAAGAATAAAATCTCATGATTCCTGTGGCTTAAAAAAAAAGACAAATTTGTATAAATGAAAGCACATGTTGAGGGAATCATGTGTACAGAACAATTTCCACAGAATTGTGATTTTCCTTTTTTTAGTCCAAAACATTTGACGTTTGCTCCTCATGATCCTGTGATTGTCAGTCTGTCCACATCACGCCCTCTAAGGCCTTGTCCTCAGAGTTTGCCTGAGTCAATGGAGCACTGACAGCACAAGTGTAAATGTGCTGCATCTGTTGTTCAGGGGGTGGATGCTCTAAAGCACAGACTGATCCCAGGCAGAGGGACACTGGCAATTAAAGACAGGTGGGGGGTCTTCCCTGAGGTCCAAAGCTAATCCCCTTTGGTCTTCCTTTCCCCCCTCTTTTAGAATGCAAGCGGATTGAAGTCTTGGATGTTGTGTTTGTAATTGACAGCTCTGGAAGCATTGACTCTGATGAATATAATATTATGAAGGAATTTATGATTGACTTGGTGAAAAAAGCCAATGTTGGCAAGAATCAGGTCCAGTTTGGGGCTCTGAAGTACGCTGATGACCCCGAGGTGCTATTTTATCTGGATGACCTTGGCACGAAACAGGAGGTGATATCAGTGCTCCAGAATGACCAGCCCATGGGGGGTAACACTTACACTGCCGAGGCCCTGGGCTTCTCAGAGCACATGTTCATGGAAGCCCGGGGCAGTCGCCTGCACAAGGGGGTCCCCCAGGTCCTCGTGGTGATCACTGACGGGGAATCCCATGATGCGGACAAGCTCAATGCCACGGCCAAGGCCTTGAGGGACAAAGGCATTCTTGTCCTGGCCGTGGGGATCGCCGGTGCCAATCCCGTGGAGCTGCTGGCTATGGCAGGGTCTGGGGACAAGTACTTCTTCGTGGAGACTTTCGGAGGCCTGAAGGGGATATTTTCAAATGTGTCAGCCAGTGTGTGTAACTCTTCAAAAGTAGGTAAGATTTGTCAGTTAATTTTTTCCTAATTATCAGCAGAGATCCAAGTGAAGGAGAAATCAAACAATAACCCTCAGGAACCTTTTCTAGGAAGGAGGAGCAGCACCAGCTGCATCATAGAACTGCTTACATTCTGGAACCTCAGGGTTGGAGAGACCTGGGGATGTTCATTCACCTCCTCCCAAACAGGAATGAGTCCTACAGCATTCCTACCCCCTTCTGCCTCAGCTCTCTAAGAATGGGGATTCACCATTTTTGAACAGACTTTATGTATTGGAGCACAAATGTGTTTACATGTCATTTTCCCCACTAGTTCTTCCTGCTCTTTCACAAGAGATCAAATTCTTCCTAAGAACCAGTGATCATTATCTGAAGTCTTCTCTCCCCCAGGCTACAGGCCCCCATCCCTTCACCTATTTCTATTATCACCAAACTCATTTAAAACATGGATGCCAATAGTAAACACGCTGTCTCAGCCTCAGATGATTCCAGAGCAGACTAGGTCTGCCTTTGTCCTGGACTCTGAGTTTCTATTCTAGTAGCTGGACATGGCATTGCCACATTTAGGTGTACATTCATTCATTCATTCATTCAGCTGCCACTTTATACTTTGTTTCAAAGGCAGTTGGTGATCTATTAAAATTCCTTAGTATTTTTATTAACATGTGTTGTACTAAAAATAAAAAATACTTTTATTAGATAAGTTTCTGTTCATCCAGGATTCCAACATCTTGGTGCAGTTCCTGTTGAAAAGTAGTCACCAGTTTCCATATGCCTTGTCTCCTTAGAATGCAACTACTATCTTTTTTTTTTTATGAAACTAACAAAATCCATCTGAGTCTTACTGAAAAGTGGGACAAATCCCCCACCTTCTGTTGGCTGATGTCTAAAATTTGAACTGTCATTTCCAAGTCCACTATTGAAGTTAACATTGAATTTTTATATTGGAAGTTCTCCCTTGGACAGAAATAGAAATGTGATGTATTAACCAGTTCCTGAAAGATCCTTTTACTGTATTTCTTTTTAATCTCTTCCTTGCTTATACTGAGACACAAAGGAATCTCAAACATCTTTAATGTTTTCTGAGGCTAAGATGGAAATTAATTTAGGTCAGTGGTGAGGTCTCTGGGGAATTTAAGGAATTGATGATGCTCACCAGAGGCTCAGGAGCACACGTGGGCCTGGGCCAAGCTCAGCTCACTCACTGGCAATGGCCTTTCCTGTTTCTGTTTTGTATTTGCTGCATCAATACTAGGGGAGCATCTGAAATACACTGCATTTTTGTTCAAAAATATTTTTCTCAGGTAGATATTTTTGCCTATATGTTCCAGACAGGGAGCTGATAAGGAGGAAAACTGACTAAACATAGATATGAAGGCATGATTTCAACACTTTGATTTGACCTAAGAAACCAGAAAAATACTTATTGCCTCAGCTGGCCAGGGAGGCCACCTCACTAATATAGCCTATCTGTCTGTTTGAGTCCCTAGGTGGATGTGTGTTGTTTGCTTTTCTTGCTGTATCACTGGGCTCTCTGGAAGGGCTAGGGCTGGATTGTAGGTAAGAACAAGCTTTCTGTGGCACTGCCCCAGTGCTTGGGATCTTGGAGAAGGAAGTGGTGTAAAGCCAAGTAGAAATGCCAGGAGAACCATGAAAGGCTGGGCAAGATGTTCATGCCTAGTGCCCATTGTTTGAACCGTTGTTTTCATTTCCTCTCCAGTTACTGTGACCACAGGGTGGCAAGACAAGACACCACCTTCAGAAATATCATTTCTATGTAGCTGAAAACAGTTTATGTACTCTTACTTGGTTAAAGGCAAAATAACAATCTGACTTTTTTTGGTTCCCTTTCCTCATCTTTATAGATTGTGAAATTGAAAAAGTAGACCTTGTGTTCCTCATGGATGGATCGAATAGCATTCATCCAGATGACTTCAAGAAGATGAAGGAATTCTTGGCATCCATTGTTCAAGACTTCGACGTCAGCGCCAACAGGGTGCGTGTAGGAGTGGCCCAGTTTAGCCACACCTACCAACCAGAGTTTCATCTGGGCAATTTCATAGGCCAAAAGGAGATATCATTTCAGATCGAAAGCATCCAGCAGATCTTTGGGTACACACACATCGGCGCTGCCCTCTGGCAGGTGGGGCACTACTTCCGGCCAGACATGGGCAGCCGGATACAGGCAGGCGCCCCGCAGGTGCTGCTGGTCCTCACGGACGGCCGGTCCCAGGACGAGGTGGCTCAGGCCGCTGAAAACCTGAGACGCAAAGGAGTTGACATTTATTCCGTGGGAATCGGGGATGTGGACGACCAGCAGCTCGTTCAGATCACCGGCACTGCAGACAAAAAGCTGACAGTTGATAACTTCGATGAACTGAGGAAGGTCAGGAAGAGGATCGTTCGCAGCATCTGCACCTCCGGGGGCGGCAGCAGTAAGTATGCCGCGCACGCCCGCTCCTCCCCGCCTTCCCTGACAGTTTCCTCAAGCTGTCTTTGTATCTCCTCGGGCTGCTGGGAGAGTCTAGGTTTGTGCCTCTGGATTTCAGATTGAACCTTTCACAGTTATCAGGTATTTTTGTGGCTTGTGGGTTAAGAAACAGGACCTCTGAGAGCTGATGTCCCTTCTCTCTGGGGAGCGCTTTCCCCTGTGAACAGGTAAGCCTTGGCTTCAAAAGGTGTGAGGAAAAGGCCCTTGTTTACAATCCAGTTGGTTTCAGAGACTGGAAAACATGCTTCAAGGAAATAAACTATTTGCTGGATTTGGGTTGCCTGGCAGTAGGGCCTACAGGGCTGCCAAGGGCAGTGTACAGGAATGTAGGGAACATCGCTGGAGGCTTAGACCTTTTTTACGAAACTTTACTGCAAAAGTTATTAAATACATTCTTAAAAATGAGCACATTTTGACATTTTTCCAAAAGATGGAAGAATGGTCTTGAAAGGGGTATAACCTTTTCTATCTAATAAAAGTGCCCAGTGAGTTGGCTGTGATTCTGTGTAACCATCCATGGTAAATGTTAACCAGCAAGAGGAGAGTTACACAGTTGCTCAGAGGCAGCTCTGGAGATGGATGACCTGGCAACAGATCCCTGCTCAATGGCCAATTTTTCTTGGACAAGTTGCTTAACTTTTCTAAGTTTAATTTCCTCATCTGTAAAATGTGAGCAATAACCACATCTAGTTCAAAAGATCATTGTGAAGATTAAATGAGAAAATGCATATTTAGACTTCAAATAAGAATGACCCTTGGGAGGTAATTATAAAGCCACTTCATTTCTGTCTACCACTGACCCATTCGATTTATTCATGTACCCAGCTCTTCTCTTGCCCCCAGTCACTTTCAGGAAACAAGTGAACCTCTTCTTGGTGATTAGTATGTCCACCCCAGAGTAACTATGAACACTTAAAGCTTCATTCAGTTTCTAACAGGCTGCCCAGCTGTCATGACATAGTGGCCACACGTGGCTGGCATTCCCCCGTTGCTCTCCACCACCTGTCACCTCTACCCCCTTCTCCCAGGCCCTGCTCTCTTCTTGTTAACAATGGTTTCTGGCCTCTTAAAATGGGCTGGGAAAGGGAGGAAGCTGAAGAGGCACAAAAAGGCTCCTACTGGACAGCAGGTGCAGGAATTGGCTCTGATGGTGGCCCATGTCTGACGCTAGGTCCATTCGCAGGTCCTCCAAAGACTCCCCCTTCTGCCCCCTTGCTCTCGCTGTCCCCACCCCCACAAAAGCATCTGTCAGGGGGCCTCTCTGCCTTGCGGGAGGTAAGCATGTCTCAACTCCAGGTGTTCCCTTACGCCTTCCTCAGCCTTTGGGCCTCTGATGATGCTTCCACCTTTCTCTGCTACCATCTCTCTGCCCCTCCAAGTAGCCTATTTGAACCAGACATCAGAGAAGCCCACAGCAGCAGCCATTCAGCTCCACGGGAAACAACGTGTCAATTGCCCCAGTAAACCCCCCCAGTGTGGCCGCCTCTCTTTTTCAAAGAGCAGTGTGCCATCTGGTGTATCATTCTTCAGGATTCTAGGTTTGTGTCATCTCCAAGTTATCTCGGAAAGCTCCCTTCTCTTGACAAAGGGAATTGCCTCCTCACCTTGTGTGAGTGTGTGTGTGTGTCTACATGTGTACACATGTGGTGAGAGACCTCACATCAACAGTTCTTCCCCAAAGTGCTCCTCTAAACTCCAAGTGCAAACCTTTATAAGACACAGTGTGTAGGCAAAGACTGAATCCTGCAATTGACTAGGGACTGTCTTTGTAAATCCTGCTTTGTGATATCCTCATACTCTGAAATGTATATAGTGACCTTGACCAAACCTTCCACATTAATTTCCTGTTTCACATGAACACCCACTTCCAATTATTAGGCTGAAAATTATCTCAGAACCATCTAAGTCTCTGCTTGAAAGAGTGAAAGAAACTCAAGTATAAAGTCAAAACCAAGAGTATACACTCAGAGTAGTCTGTGTGTTATCTTTAAAGTAAAGCATTATGAATGTAAACATAAATAAATAAATGGTACTTTGTGTTAAGATAACCTTGAAGTCACTAGGGCAGCATGCAAGAATGTGAGTGACCTTTGTAGCCAAGCCGGGGGCTGAGGACTGCGGATGCTGGAATGAACACTGATAGAACTTCAAAAGCATGTGCAGTATATTAGTACATACCAGTTCTTCTTAAACCATAATCCCCAATCAAGGAAATCAGACAGTGGCTTGGTGTCGCTCAAGGCAAACCAGACTTAGCACCTGAACATCTGACTTTGTATTGAAATATGTACAGTTCTGAAGTGGATGCTACACTCCCTGGCTTGCCCATCTCTGTTTCTCTGGCTGTATTCTGTGATTCAATATATGTCGAAGGAAGGTTGGACATGTGGGAACAGGAGGGAAGTGACGAAGAACCAGTGTTCCTTGAGCATCTATGAAGGGCCAAGCATAGTGCTCTATCCTTTCTTAGTGCATTGTCTCATTAAATTCTCCCCAAACCTTATGTGATTTGTATTTATATTCTCTTTATACATGAGAAACCTGGGGCTTAAAGGCATATTGATAGTCTGGCCCAGATCATACAGAAGTAACAGACTAAGGGAGCTTTGAAATCTGGGTCTGTATCCAGCCCACTTTTTTGTTGTTAAGTTAAGCTGCTTGTTTTCTTGATATCATCTAGGTTATCTGATGCTGACATAAAGAACAAGTGTCTAAGTGCTGTGCTTCGCCGATTAATAGCTGGACCTTACTAAGACATCGTGGGTTTCTATCTTGAGATTGTTCCTGCAAACTGCTGCTCGCTAAAGAAACTACTTACTGCCCCCTGAGTGGGAAACCACTGCTTCCAACACCACAGTCTAGTAGTCTAGTGACCTGCACAGCCCTTTGCCACTGGCCACATAGGAAGAGGCAAAACAAGGCAGTCCAGCATGTGAACCCCAGACACACCTAGATTTGAATCCAAAGCATGAGGTCCTCAGTAGTAACTGTGAGGACTCAGGCAAGCTGCTCTAGGCCACAGCTTCCTCCTCTGCAAAATGAGTATTAGAAGAGTTGCTATTGCTCTGTTTCACAAGTGAGATCCTGCGTGGGGCATGCACGTAAAGCTCAGTCAGTGTCAGTGAGCGGGATGGGAGCTGCAGAGGGCATCTTAGAAATGCAGATCAGGGCTAGTTCACGTAAGAACAATTTACCAAGAGTTTCTTGGTTTAGGAACTTTAATATTTTAGCAACATTTCAGATCTGTATTTAAATTTAATGTCTCGACATGCACCAAATTCTCCTAAGCAACTCAGCTCTGAAATCTGTTTTCTTACCTTCACTCATGCTTATTTTCTTGATTTTTCTTCTTTGAGCCTGGCTATTCTGAGCACCTGGAGGAGACTTCAGGCAGTTTTCAGAACATGGAAGCCCTGCCTGTTTGGGCATGAAGCCATCAGGTAGCAAAAGAATCGGGAGTCCCTCCCGTGTTTTGCATCATTGTGGATGGGTAGATCAAAAGGGGTTTAAGCAAAAGGCCGGTCTGATAACAATGAAGTAAGAAACACCCTCAGGATTTGATTCAAGGAATGTGTGAAATATAAGGAAAAAAATAGATGCTCATTTCCAACTTTTCTAGACAGGGTTGTCTTTACATTCCTGTCTTAACTGGCTTCTCTAGAAAACAGAGCTTAAAACAAAATTTATGTGATAAAAATACTTCATGTATTAATACTTCAGTGGGAGTACAGTCCTGGGAAAACAAGAGTTGAGTGGAAGGGAAGTAATTTAGGAAAGGAGAGAAAGTACATACAAGATGGCATGTTACCAAACTAGCTACAGCTTCTTGAGAAGCGTAACTGGGATATTGATCATGCAGAATATTGGCAAGGAGGCCATGTAGCATCACTGTACCGGCCAGTCTGTCACAGGGAATAAAGGAGAGCATCTATACGCCGATTCCTTCCCTCTACTGCCTCTCTCTGGGGAGAGTTTACCCCCTAAAGAGTCAACTCATCCACCTTACTGTGCTGTTGTCATCGGTCCCCTGGGGAAACCAGAAGCAGGACCCACAGCACGTGCATGTGGGGCTGGAGGTGGTGGGGAGAGCAGAGCTCTTGTGAGCTCCTGTGGGGCAGCCGTCAGCCCCAGAGTTCTTGCAGCCCTCCTGCACTGAGGAGGGCCAAGGCTGTGCCAGAGCATTGGGGCACCGGGCAGCCGCCACAGCTGAGGCCTTCCGCCGGGCAGATGTCCACGTCCTGGGTGCATGCGGGGAGGTGGAGCAAGCGACTCTGGAGGTATATAAAGTATGTCTCTTATAGTACCTAAGTTTTTAGATCATTGTTTCTCTTTTTTCACATGTGTTCCCTTCTTTCAAAAGCCCCCAAGCAAATTTATTTCCTTTCCCAGCTAATAACTGCCAAGAGCCCAACTTGCCCCTTCAAAGTATTTTCTCAAGAATCTGTGTTCTAATCACACTAACATATCCTACCCTCTTGATAGCATTTCTTATACTAAGAATCTGCCATCATCAACTCCAGTTAAGGACATTCTTTACAAGTCAGATGATTAAAACCAGCTTTTGGGTCTGGCAGGGATGAATGAGACTGTAACTATCTGGTCCAATCTACCCTTTTCTGTTCTTTTTTATTTTTATGTTGAAATATATAACTTCCTTATTTTTTTAGACAAGAAAATTAATGCCCAGAGAGGTTCAGAGATTTGCCAAAAGTTATTTAGTGCTAACAGTGTGATTTGTACATTACTAAAACTACCTTTGTGCCTTCCTGCGCAAAGACCTCCCACCCCAGGCTTGCTCCCTGCTGCTGGTGAGCACTAGTCAAACACTCACACACTTCTGTTACTTCTCTTTATCTCCTTCTTTAGCCAGGTCACCTTCCTACCCTCCCTTGCATTTCTTTCCCCTTTTCAGTTCCCACTCCTGCTATCCTGATTTAGTCCTTCATTATTTCTCCAGAAGCCCATTTGAACCTTCTCCTAAGCTCACTTCTGAAACTACCCCTGCCCCTCATTAACTCTGAAGGGCTTCTCATTTGAAAGCAGAGTCTCTGCTGAGTGTGCAAGGCCATTGTGCAAGAGCCCACTGGGTCGTATGGCCAGCCATGCTGCCAGCTCTACATTTGTCCCCCAAAGCCCATTCTTTGATTAAATTATTATGAAATCTTTTGCTCATTTTTATTGAATAAACGCAAAGAACCTGTTTACCAGAATTTGTACTTTAATATAGACAAATTAAAATACTCAAAAACCTCCTGTAAAAGGGGATAGCTCCCAGGATCATGCAGTGGCATTTTGGCATTTCAGCCAATGTCTGTGTTTTCACCAGAGACTCTTTCCCTTGAAGGCAGTAATATATTTTAGTTACCGAATGGTTTTCTGTTCAGTTAAAGCAAGATTCATCCAAGAGTGAAACTTTCAATCTCAAGATAGAAATAAAAGGATATAGATTCAAGAGGAATTTGGGAAAGGATATTTTCTGATGATTCCTTCTGACTACTTTCTTTCTCTTCATCAGTAAGATGAAATAAAAAAAAAAGAAAGAAAGTAATTCTGAGTATTGAAGAAGATAGTTTCCAATAAAGTACATACAGTAAAATAAGAAATCCACTTTCAAATTTTTTGATAACATATTGAATTACCTTGAATATCATGGTGAAAAATGATTGTCTAATAAGGTTTTTATTTTCCCTCACCCAACTCTTTTCTCATAAAAATGAATCAAGTTATTGGCCCTTGTATTAAGAATTGAAAGTGACATTTTAGTTTCAAAGACCTAAAATGCCCCAACTGACCAGTATGTCTAGAGGTAGAATAGGTGGCATTTGTCCACACAACAAATATCTGAAAATCTGCTATCTAAACAAGGCAAACTAAAAATGAATATTTCACCCCCTTTATTTTACCAAGCAAGCTGCATGTATTGAATTTCCTGGAAAGGTGGAAGTCTTCAGCTAACCTAGGTCTTAAAAGAGGAGTGGATATGTCATACTTTATCCTTCACCAATTATCTACTCCTCAGGATGCCCAGCTTAAACTATCAAACCCCTTCTAGTTTTCTCCAGTCCTATTAACTCCATGCCCCTGGAGTTAATAAAAATAAGAACAAAGCACTTTAAATGCAATACCTCACTCAGTATTTCCTGAACCCCCAAACGACAGTGGGTGTGGCTTCCTGAACAGCTGAGCTCTGAAGGCAGTGCTGTCTTGACATGTGCCATTTGGGTGACTGGTGCCCAGGTCTTTCCCTATGTGGAGAGCTCAGGGGTCTCTTGGAGTCTTTTTTTTTTCTGTGATGTTATAAGATAAAAAGAGGAATCAGTGGTTGTTTTTAGAAGGATGAATCAACAAAATCTTTCCTTTAGACAAGTCCTTTGTGATTTATTTTTTCTAAATAACTTTATCTGTTCAAATGCTCTTATATGTTCCTTATCATTTGACTGATATAATATTGTTGAATGACCTCAATTGATAAGCAGCATAATATGAATTTCCTATTTTAGATTATTAACATTTCCACAATGTTTCAGGTATTTAAATGACTCTGCATGGCTTTTTTGGTGGCTATAATAAAATCATTCAGAACTTTAATTGTTAAGGAATCATCTAGATTTTATCCCAGTCAAAAAATAATACTACATATTTCTACTTTTATAGGTTATGAAAGAGAAATTCTGAGCTTCTTCCATTATTCACTCATGCTTTTCTTTATTTTCCAACTTTAAAACTGGAATAGAAATAAGAACTCCAAGTCCTTTGCTTCCAATATAGCATCCAAGCCAAATAAAGATATTTGTTGATGTAATAATATATGCTTTTCCCTTGAACCCTAGATTGTTTTGTGGATGTTGTAGTGGGATTTGACGTCTCAACTCATGAGAATGGGCAGACTTTGCTCGAAGGTCAGTCTTGGATAGAAACCTACCTTCAAGACATCTTACATGCCATCAGCTCCCTCAATGGGGTAAGCTGTGAGGTGGGCACAGAGACTCATGTTAGTGTGGCTTTTCAAGTGACTAATGCCATAGAAAAATATTCCCCCAAGTTTGAGATCTACAGTGAAAACATACTGCACAGCTTGAAGGATGTGATAGTTAAAGGACCATCTCTTCTCAACGCAAACCTCTTGAGCTCTCTGTGGGATGCATTTCAGAATAAATCAGCTGCTCGAGGAAAGGTAACTGTTTCATTGTGTTTTTTGGTCTATGGTTACAATGACCTCCTTTTCACTCCTTTCTCTTTTTGAATACTTCCTAGGTGGTTCTCTTATTTTCCGATGGATTGGATGATGATATTGAAAAGCTTGAACAAAAATCTGGTGAACTTAGGAAAGAAGGTACTGAGCACTGGGAAGAGGGCGGTGTGGGGAAGAAATGTTTATTAGCTTTATAATCTCAGAACTCAGTACAGCTCCTGAGTCTCCAAGCACTCACGCAGCACCGGGACCGCCAGCCCCCACCCCCCTGCCCCACTCTGTGTGCACTGGGCAGAAGAGCACATGTGCCCTCAGAACATTTTGGCATCTGCTTATTCCCCTATGCCTGTGTAGACGGTACAGCACCGAATACAATGTCCTATCCTTTCTCTTGCACTGCTGTATTTCTTCTTACAGAGCTTTCCTTGAAAATGTCCTGTCTCCCTTGGCCCACATTATCTAATATTGCTATTTTCTTTAGTGTCAGCAGAAGTGAACCAGGTATTTCTCCTTGACCAAGAAATGGGAGAATTGAATTATTTTCTTCTAACACTCAAACATTTCCAGAGTTGCAAGCATAGTTGGACAAGTTCACTCATGCTTTGGGGCTTTACGATCAGTCCTTCTTCTTTCAGATTCAGATGGATCACCCACGATGTTTGAGTTTTTAAAGCTCTGGCACCAGGCTTTTGGCTTTAGCCACCAGTGTCTGGTCTGACTTTTGTCAGTTCTTACTGAAATATGCATTAGTGGAAGGAAAATGCATCCATAAGTTCTGGTTTGACTAAGAATAGAAATACTTTCCTATATGCTAATGGGTCTATTTATAAGCACTCTAGATCTTTTTCTCAGTCTTCATTAATATCTTTACTAGTCATTATGGAAAAAGACTAAGACTTGATAGGATAGAGATTAGCTTTAGTAAATAAGGGCAAAATAAATATCCTTACTCTCTAGCTGCAAATTCAGTGAAGACAATTGGTGTCCCACCCAGACCCTGTTTTCTAGACAGGCTCCCCCTTCCTCCAGCTGCTGTGAGTATTGGCTGCTAACGACTTGCAGGTTCCTCTTTCTCTAAGGAATTGCCCTTGGCCAATGGGAGCCACCTTACCTGGGATGCTACTCCCTACCCAACCCCTGGGCAGCAGGTAGGGCACAAAGAGTTGGACCTTTGCCTCAAAATGGCACCAGTTCTGGGGTGTGATTTATGTTCCAGAATTCCCTGTGGGATCAGGCTGAAGCTAGACTCCAGCTGAAACACCATCTTGGCTCAACCCCTTCCCTTGCCCAGACTGCCCCCCTCGCCCTCACCTGAGAGTGATTCCTCAATAAACTGTGTGCAACCAAATCCCAATCTGGGCTCTGCTTCTAGGGAATCAAACCCAAGACCCCTGCCTCTCAAGTTTGCTCTTAGAGGTTGAGTGGATTTTGTCTTCTCTCTTTAGTTCTGTCTCCTCAATCTTAAACAAATTGCAACGTTCACTGAATTTGCAGCTAGAGAGTAAGGATATTTATTTTGCCCTTAGGATATTTATTTTGCTGTTTCTTCCTTTATTCCATTTCATCTGGCCACTCTGTCTTCCTGTCCTAGAATTCTCCCTTTCCCCATTATGTCCCTGGGACTTTATTCTTTATTCTCTTCCTACTCTCATTCAAAATCACTTATATAGAAGACATGCTTAACTCTCAGTCAAGCCCTTGAACATTTCTTTATTCTAGTCCGTTGGTTTCCGAGTCCTTTCCAAGAATTGTTCACTCATCCACAATAAAGTGAGAAAACTTAACGCCTGTGGAGTCAGATTTTCATAAAGCTGAATTTATTCAATTTTAGGACTTCCCCTTACTCTGATTATGTCCTTTTTACATTTTGTTATTAAATTTCCTTTGAGTGTAGGCTTTGATATCAGGCTTTCTGGGTAAAAACCTAAAAATACCACTTAAGCCAGTCATTTAACATCTCTAAGCCTCAGTTTGCTTGTCTGTGAAATAGAGCTATAATCATACAACTTCTAGAGTTGTACTTGTATCTTACAAATTGAACAATGCATGCAAATCACTTAGCTAACTTCTAGGCAGATAGCAGTTATTAATAACTGAGATCACGGTTATCTCCACCCTAACAATTACCAGGTTTATTACTATCATCATTTAATGTTCTTATTTTGCAAAACAAGTCAACCCTCTGTTAATTCCTAAAAGTTTTCTTTGAAATATTCTGGTCTACAAAATCTCAAAGCCTATGAGCCACAGCTCTGGATAATCACGTCATTTGTTTCTAATTATCCAACAAGAAGTCTCTATCTTTTGCTATCTGTAATTCCTTCTTCACTGGAGACTAAGACCAGGAAAGTTGAGGCAAACCGTGGTGAGTGGGCCACCCTGCTCTTTGGAGTTCCTCCTTTATTCCACTTCAGTGGAATATCATTTCCTTATGAGGTCATTTAGAGCTTCTCAAATTTTAGGCATATAAATCACACAGGGTTTTTATTAAAATACAGATTCTGATTCCATAGGTCTGGATAGGGCCTGAAATTCTGCATTTCTGATAAGCTCCTAGCTGATGCTTCTCCAAGGATCCCACCTTTGAATGGCAAAAATTTAGAACATGGAATGCTTACTTTCTTGATATGTGAATACCTCTGTACATGCTATGCAGACCCCTTTTAACTGACTATCTCACTTCAAATCATCAGAGAACTGGAAGTTCTGTTGTAATTTTCCCTATCTCTGATTTAGTTCATTTTGAAAAATGTTGATTCCTTTTGGTCTCTGGTTATGACTTTGTCACTTTTCGGTTCACATTGTATGATTGGGAGAAGTGGACAATAAAATGAGTGATCCTCTTCAAACTGTTTTCCTAGAATAACAATTTAGATACATATACATGAATATTAACCAAACCCATCTCACCTGTAGAACTGTAAACTCTGTTGAACAGGCCTGAATGCCCTTATAACTGTTGCTCTGGATGGAGCCAGTGCCTCGGGCGACCTGGCTGATCTTCTCTACATTGAATTTGGGAAAGGATTCGCGTACAGGACCCAGCTCACTATTGGGATGAGGGATCTTGGGAGCCGACTATCAAGGCAACTAGTAAGTTATTCAGAAAGGGCTGCTCAATATAATTTTCTGCTTGTTTATATATAAGTTTAGTTTTATGCTTACAAATTTGAACTAATTTTGTTCATCTGGGAATGAAGAAGGTCTTTTCTGAATTGGTAAACAGTCTAAATAAGAGAGCATTTTGAAAAATGTAATATAGTAGGGAGACATCAAAGCATGTTTAATTTATATGCTTGGCAAAAAATAAAAAAGAAGGGAGAAGAAACTAGATAGTACCTACAGTCCTGTCCAAATTATAGTCAATAAATGTTAAGTGCCACAGAGAGTCTGAGAGATGAGGGTGAACTGTGCTCACTCAGCTAACCAATTTTTACATCCCTTGCAGATCCTAAGTGTCACTCTCATCATACTGAGTATAATTTGAGTGTTTAAGATCTGTATTTTCCCTGCAACATGGCATGTTAATGAAAGCCAATTACATTTAGAGTTTAACCAGAGAAAGAGCAATCTACTCCAATGGGGGAGGAAAAATGGGTGATGAGGGACTTCCTGTGCTGCACCTTGGGTGATCAAAACATTTTTAAAGGTTGTCTTGACTAACTGAGAGTTTTGCTTTATGATCTAGTTGTAGAACCTAGCACCTGTAATGTGGTGCAACTCAATCTTATTGTTCTCAGAAACACTTCACTTCAAAGTAGAGTGGTGATGTGTATCAAGTTATGTAGCATTACTTTTATGTTGATAAATGGCTAATAATTGGTAATTTGTTCTTATAATTTATAAGATGTATAATCAGCATGTCAGGATACCTTCCAATAAAGTGCTAGCTCTTGCTACTCACCACCTGTAGAACTGGTACATAAATAGATGTTTAAGCACAGTTTGTTTAGTGTGGTAGTTATGCAAAAGTAATTATTTATAGCATATGGAAAGAAAAGACAGTGTCTATTTTACAAAATGTATTTTTTCCCATCTACTACTCCTTGAAATCTGTATTTGTGATTCATAGATGGAAGAAGTTATTCTTCAAAATAAAAGCCTGTCAGTTTTTTAGATACCACCTAAATGTAACACTATAAAAGAAAAACTTAATTTTAGAAATCAATTTTGATGTTAATAATAAAAAATTTGATGCCATAGGATTTTGGTGATCCAAAGAAAATTGATATTACCTAATATGAAATCACAGAATCCATTTCATTATTATTTGCTTTTACATATTTCAAATTTTATTAGTTTTTCTGAGATTTTCAGAAAAAAACAGGATAGCATTCTAATGTTAGAAAAGGAACATTATACCCCACTAAGGCAAAGTATAGCATTAAAAAAAATTTTTTTTAATGTGTCATTAATATACAATCACCTGAGTAACATTGTGGTTACTAGATTCCCCAAGGCATAGCATTTATTGCAAACAGAATTTTCCCCAAAAAAATCTTGTAGGTTAACTATAAAAATGCAATGAAATATGTTAATTATTCAAGGGATGATTAACTAGGTCCAGAATGAAAGTTGCTACATTTTTTAACATATGATGTTTTTCTGGGCGGGAGTATAAAAAGAAATATTCTCCTCATGCCTCTCCCCAGTATGGCGAGTGCTTCCACAATGTTGAACATGTAGTTGGTGTTTTTGAAATCCTGTTACATATAAACTTTTCTAAAAGTGTGTACCCTTGGTCCCAAGCACCATGGCACTGGGCGCTGCCCAAATCCTTCAGCACACAAAGATTTCACAGGACAGGGCAAGGAGAGCACAGCATGCATTCACTTTACTAAACACACTATTGGGACAGAATTATGTAGAGCAGTCAACACCTCCATGGTCAATGCTGGGGTGAGGTAGGAATAGGAAATCACACTAGTAAATTAGTATGCAATGAATTGGCCATGGCTAAATGGATACTATTTTGAAAACACAAAAGTGTCTTGAGTTGATTTTTAATTCCTCAAAAATGCAGTGGAGAATGCAGGTCACAGAAGGAACCATGGAAGCTAAAGAACATCCCATGTGCATTCTCTCCAGAGCATATCCACATTCTTAGTGAACAGACTTCTGAAACTGGTAGGAGTCTAGAAACACACCACTGAGCTTGTATGTGTGATTTGGGAAGTAGGCCCACCACATGTAACATGCATGCTTCCTACTACCCTCCCCCAAGGTCAATGTTGCCGAAAGGACATGCTGCTGTTTATTCTGCAAGTGCATTGGAGGAGATGGCACACTGGGAGAGCCTGGAGCGCCAGGGAAGAAGGTAACTCGGTACAGACTTCTGGCTCACTTCATTTGAATATTGAATGTCTTTCAGCCATGAGCATAGGGTTGATTTTAACTTCTAGGTAAACCTCTGAGGCCGCCACTTATTATACTCCTCTTATATAGGTCAAATTAGATAGTCATGACTTTTCCTTGGCATTCTAAATTGGAGTCTTTAAAAAACCTTTTATACAATTCTCGGGAGAAATGACTGCCAAGATCCTTCATTACGCGGTGTTCGAGCAGTGATGATGATGTGCAAAGATCAACATTATCCTCATGTTGGATAACGGGAAACCTCCTGAATACTAGTCAGTCGTTTCTATTTCCATTTTTAATGACCGTATAGTCCTTTCAGTCAAGTAGGGAGTATTTTGTGAAGTCTGCTGAAAATCAAGATGTTAAGATGTCTAATTCAGCTTTAGCCAGACCAAAATGTTGTCACAGATGTATATGCAAAAACAGGCCAATAAAAACACTAACTGAGAAATGATTCATATACACACAAACCTCAGAGATATTGTGGATTCAGTTCCAGACCACCACAATTAAGTGAATATTGCAGTAAAGTAAGTCAAATGAATTTTTGGTTTCATGGTTTATTAAGTGTGCAATAGCATTATGTTTAAAATATATATGTACCTTAATTGACGATGACCTTGTGCTAGAACTGCTAGCCATCATCTGAGCTCTTAGCGAGTTGTGATGTTTTGCTGGTGGAGGTTTTTGCCTCAGTGTAGGTGCTGCTGACTGATCAGGCAGCGGTTGCTAAAGGCTGCAGTAGCTGTGGCAATTTCTTAAAATAAGACGACAATGAAGTTTGCCACATCAGTTGACTCTTCCTTTCCCGAACAATTTCTCTGTAGCATACATCGCTATTTAATATAATTTTAACCACAGCTGCACTTCTTTCAAAATTGGAGTCAGTCCTCTCAAACCCTGCTGCTGCTTCATCAATGAAATTTATGTAATATTCTAAATCCTTCTTACCATTTCAACAATCTTCACAGCATCTTCACCAGGAGTAGATTCCATTCTAAGAAACCACTTTCTTTGCTCATCCATAAGAAGCAACTTCTCATCGATTCGAGTTTTATCAGGAGATGCAGCCATTCAGTCCCATCTTCAGGCTGCACTGCAAAGTCCAATTCCCTTGCTGTTTCCACTGCATCTGCAGTTCCTCCTTCCACTGAAGTCTTGAACCCCTCAAAGTTATGCCTGAGGGGTTCCAAACTCCTGTTAATGTTGATATTTTGACCTCTTCCCGTGAATCATAAATGTTCTTAATGGCATCTAGAATTGTCAATCTTTTCAGAAGGTTTTCAGTTTACTTTGCCCAGATCCATCAGCAGAATCACTGTCTATGGCAGCTATAGCCTTACAAAATTTATTTCTTCAATAATGAGACTTGAAAGTCAAAATGACTCCTTGATCCATGAGCTGCAGACTGGATGTTGTGTTAGCAGGCATGAAAACAACACTCATTTCATTGTGCATCTCCATCAGAGCTCTTGGGCAGCCAGGTGTATTGTCAGAGAGGAGTAATATTTTGAAAGGAATCTTTTTTTCTGAGCATTAAGTCTCAACAGTGGGGCTTAAAATATTCAGTAAACCATGGCGTAAACACATGTGCTGTCATTGAGGCTGTTGTTTCATTTATAGAGCACAGGCAGAGTAGATTTAGCATAATTCTTAAGGGTCCTAGGATTTTTGGAACTGTAAATGAACATTGGCTTCAACTTAAAGCCCCTACCTGCATTGTTCCCTAATAAGAGAGCCAGCTTCTCCTTTGAAGCTTTGAAGCCATGTATTGACTTCTCCTCTTTAGCTATGAAAGTCCTAGATAGCATCTTCTTCCAACGGAAGGCTATTTCATCAGCAGTGAAAATCTGTTGTTTACTGTAGCCACCTTCATGCGTTACCTGGGCTCAATCTTCTGGTAACTTGCTGCAGCTTCTCCATCAGCACCTGCTGCTTCACCTGCACTTTTCTGTTATGGAACACAGCTTCTTTCCTTAAACCTCATGAACCAACCACCAACTTCAAATTTCTCTTCTGCAGCTTCCTCTCCTCCCTCAGCCTTCATAGAACTAAGAAGAGTTAGGGGCTTGCTCTGGATTAGGCTTTGGCTTACATAAGTGTTGTGGCTTGTTTGATCATCTATCTAGACCACTAAAACTCTCTTCATATCAGCAATAGGCTGTTTTGCTTTATTATTTCATGTGTTCATTTTTTCATAGGGCATTCATTTGATTGTTTAATTTCCTTCAGGAGCTTTTCCTGTGCATTCACAGATTGGCTAACTGTTTGATGCAAGAGACCTCGCTTTTAGCTTATTCTGGCTTTCAATATGCCTTCCTCACTGAGCTTGACTGTTTCTAGCTTTTGATTTAAAATGAGACACGTGCCACTCTTCCTCTCACTGGGGCACTCAGAGGCCACCAGGGTTACTGACTGGCCCAATGTCAATACTGCTGTTCTCTCAGGGCACAGGGGGTCTGAGGAGAGGGACAGAGACTGAGGAACACCCAGTTGGTAAAGAAGTCAAAACACACACATTGATTATTCGCTGTCTCATGTAAGTGTAGTCTGTGACACCCCCAAAGAATTACAATAGTAATGTAAAAGATCACTGATCACAGACACCATAAGAAATATAACAATGAAAATGTTTGAAATACTGCAAGAATTACCAAAATGTGACACAGGGACACCTGTGAGCAAATGTCGTTGGGAAAATTGCTTTGACAGACTAGTGTGATGTCGGCTTGCTGCGGCCTTCAGTTTGTAAAAAGCAGATTATCTGCTAAGTGCCATCAAGGGAAGCCCAGCAACATGAGACACACCTGTATTCCTAACCAAAAGAACCTCATGTGCCCTTATGTAAAAATATTATGTGGGGCTTTAGGATATGTTCAAATATATAAAAACATATTATGGATATGTTTAATACTAACTTCAACACTGCTTGGTTACCTGTGTTTGATTTCTGAATAATTTATAAACAGCACTATCACTCCCAATCAGCATAGCTTTGTCTCTGAATAAAGTTTTCATATTCTTATTTCCTGAATGCTTCAACTTCTTGCAAAGAGAATGGTAGAATTTGGTTTTAAACAGGGCTCAGAAACAATGAAAAGAAATGTGTATGGTATGTTTTTTTTTTTGTAGCACAAATCATAAAAAATATTTTTTTAATGAAAAGAGGATAATTTTAGTCTGCTTGGACAAATATAGTTTTGCTCCTTTGAACACTTGTCTGGAAAAAAAACTCCAGTGATATGTTTAACCCCAGGAAGTGCTATAGACAACATTATGATTCACACATGTACATACCCTGGAATTATCTAGGTACTTGTCTCAAATTCCATTAATTTTTATGTGTATAAATGCAGCCTCAGTTGTAGAGGGAAGACTATTTTTTTCAAAATCTTACTATTCTGCATAAAAAACTGTAAATAGTTGAGGAATTTTGTTTGATTACCTCTGGTTTTGGGTCTATGGAATGCTAATGTATTCTTCCTTTCTTTGTTTCCAGGGACCCCCTGGTTTTAAAGGCAGTGAAGGCTACCTGGGAGAGGAGGGCATTGCTGTAAGTCAAGGTTTCTTCAACTGTTTATTCCAAAGAACATATCTACAATATGAACTCATTTGTGTCAATTTAGAGGAAGGCAATAAAAATCAGATTCCAAGGACTCATGAGTGAAACTGGAGGTCTTTCCTCACCCTCTTTGGGCTTTGCTTCTGAAGATCATTAGTGGTTTATTAGCCTACTGTCTCCCCTTTGCTACTCACCAGCATCAGACAGTGAACTCACTGCAAATGTTTTCTTCTTCCCCATGGAGTCAAATCACTGCCATTTCTCCCTTCCTGGTCCATTTTGCACTGGTAAACCAGTGTACCACATTGCTTATCAAGGACTTCACTCTCTCTCGCATTGATCCATCCACCCACCCACCTTTCCATCCAGTCTCCTTTCCTTCCATCCATGCATCCATTCATTTAACAATTATATAGTAAGCATCTTACCATTTACCATATTACTTATCAAAGACCTTACAGATATATATGAAGGCATCTTACCATGTGCCATGCACAGGGCCAGGCCCTAGAAATAAAATAAATAAATAAAATAAAAAGTATGGTTCCTATATCAGATAAATTCCAGACTAATGGAATAGCAAAGGAGACAACCGTGTTTCAGGTCTTATACACAAGGACTATACTACAGGCATAATGAAGTACCATGTGACCAAGAGTGGCAGAACAAATACCTAGCAGCCTCGGTGGCATGTGGGGCATGGGAGAAGAAGGCTGCAAACAAGGGTAATTCTTGGGCAGATGTCTGCAGGACAGATAGAAATTTCTCTCAGCAAATTGTGTAGGAAAGAACATTCTATTACAGACAGCTATGTGCTCAAGGGCATGTAACTGAGTCAGAGAATTGTATTTTTGCACAACAGTACCTGGTCAACATGGCTGGAACCCAAGGTACAGATAGAGGAGGTTATAAGACAAGCAAGACCGGATTACTAGGAGTCTTGATTTCCCTGCAGATTTGGATGGTGTCTTCCAGTTGGTGGGAAGTCACTGAATGGTATTAAGCACAAGAGTAAAATAATGGAACACAGGTTTAGGAACCATGCTAAGGTCATACCATGGAGGATGTTAAGGCAGGAGTCACAGGAAGAAGTCTTGCATAGTAGATACAAGACAAAGTGGTCCTGATTTTAGTTTGGGGCAGGAGGTTGAATGGATATAACTTGGTGACCATTGGGGAGAGAGAAGCTGAGAATGACATTTTGTTTCCAGCTTACACACTGCACAGACTTGTAGGGTTACCAAGACAAAGACTGCAGGGGCAACATTTGGTTTAAGAAAGAAAGAAAAGGAAGATGGATTTTGGTCTGGAAGTCATGCCTCTTGCTTAGCTCATACCCAGAGCATCTTTCTCTGATGTGTCAACAGTTCTTTATTATCTGCTCTTGGAATTCTCCTGCAATCTTGAGAATACATTTTAGCTGCCAGTTATTTGTTTGTCTGTTTTGTTTATATACTACCCCAACCATGACAGTATATCCAGGTGGGGTCTAAAGCAAAGGGCTGTCAGTGAGTTGCTCTGATTTACTTCTATTCTTAGTTTTTATAAACATGAATTCTGGATTGTAAACTATAAGCAGTCACACATTGTTTTCCAACACAAAACTTTTCAAATTTCCAAGACATATTCCAACAGAAAAACATCACCTGGGTATGTGCTCTTTCTCAGGGAGAAAGAGGAGCCACCGGACCAGCGGGAGAGCAAGGTGCTAAAGGGTGCCATGGTGCCAGGGGTCCTAAGGTGAGTGTCACTAACAAGTCATAATGTCTTCCCAATGTTAAGTCCATTTTCCTACACTGATCGCTACTGTTCTTTCTATTTTCAGGGAAACAGGGGACTAAATGGACAGGAGGTATGTCCAAACATATCCATTTATCTGCCCATCTGTTATCTAGAAATATTTTTATTTTTGAGATTATTGACCAAGTAGATTGTACAAATGAAGTTTCTGTTGACCTTCTTTTTTTATTGCCAACTATTCCATTTTGTTTATTCCTGTCTTTTATTGCAGGTAATGTATATTATTTGTTGACAGCTATTACTCAGCAAGCTTTGATATTACCCAAGGCTAGACTAACAAAGAAGCTATATATGGAACATAAAATTAACCTTTTTTTTATTTGGTATCTGACTTCTTTTCACATAATTCCAAGCATATCTGTCTTTTCAGGGAGAAGTTGGGGAAAGTGGAATTGATGGATTAAATGGAGAACAGGTAGAGCCTTCTCTGTGTACCATAAAGACCCTTCTAAGCTATTTCTCATTAAGAAAATGGGAAATAGAGTTTACTCTTCTCTGTTTTTTAGGGTGACAGTGGTCTTCCTGGAGGAAAAGGATCAAAGGGTGATGAAGGATCCCAGGTAGGGATTCAACAGGGAGACAACATGGATGCTGTGCCGGGAACTGAGGGTGTGTGCAGCCAAGCAGAACAGGTGCCCGGGGTGCGTCAGCTAGCTGGCGCCACAAAACTGCTTTGTTACTAACAATCACATGCGACAATAAACATTTATTTCTTGTGAGTGGCTCAGCTGATGAAGGCTGAGCATGGCTACCTTGGCTCACATACTTACACTGGCTGCAATCATCGGTCCATGTGTCCCTTACCCTCCTGCGGGTACCAGACAGCTGCTGGCCATGTCGGCCCCAACCTTTTCACGGTCATGGTGGAAGCACAAGGAAACAGGTAGAAACACATAAGGCCTCTTAAGGCCTCCTGAAGCCTGCACTTGGAACCCTCATGGCAACATTGCCGTCTCTTCCTGTTGGCTGAGTCAGGTCATGACCGAACCCAGGGGGAGGGAATCTTGCCCCAGAACAGCAGGAAGACACTGCAGGGTTACATGGCAGAGGGCACAGATACAGAGAGGCATGAAAGCCCAGCGTGAATAGAAGCAGCCACTCCACTAAGAGCAGTAGCTGACTGTCAACAAGGGCCTGCGGCTCAGGGGAGCCCGTTGCATGCGCTGCTCATTCCATCTGTAACAAATGCCAGCAGCAGCCACATTCCATGATCTGCTTTACCTGTATTTAGAGTGAGAAATTGAGTCCAAAACTCATTTTCTGGGTGATGCAACCACCTTGGGAAAAATGGTTAATGTCTCTGAATCAGCTGCCTCATTAAATGGAAGATAATAAACAATACCTCGTTCATACAGTAGTTATAAAAACTAAACAAGATGACAAATGTGTCTGGAAGATGGAGTCCATCACTGTGGCAAACATTGGGGTCATTCTTAAATTGTTCATATGATGCCTGAAACTATGTTTCGGTTGTTCTTCTTTCCAGTTGAAGAAAAACATTTAATTATTCAAATCAGGGAGAAGAGAATATTTTTATTTGTTTTAATTTATGTTGTTAAAAATCCTTGTTTTGTACTTCTTCTGATTTGTATACACTTCAGGGAAGCCCAGGGAAGAAAGGAATGTCTGGCGACCACGGAACAAAGGGCCTGCGAGGAGACCCTGTAAGTGACTTCATGCCTGTGAGAGCTGGGGAGGAGCGGGCTGGGCGCTGACGTCGGGGCTCGGTTCCCATCAGCATGTCTGGTGCGAGGAGAGCCCCAGGTTAAGGTACTGCACAGCAATCCTGAGTCTAATCATCACGTGCGCAATTGCTATGGAATTTTAGAAGCAGGTCCCTGCGCTAGATCCTCTTCATATACAGAATGAGTACGGACAGTGAGAAGCCTTGCACATCATTTACTCATGCAGTTTTTTAATTTAATACAGTTGATATGCAATATTATATTGGTTTAAGGTGTATGGCATAGTGATTTGACAATTATATACATTGTGAAATGCTCACCATGGTAAGTATATTTACCGTTTGTCACCACACACAGTTATTGCAATATTATTGGCTATATTTACTATGCTGTATTTTTGTTCCTATGACTTATTTATTTTATAACCAGAAGTTTGTACCTACTGACTCCCTTCACCTATTTCATCCATCCCACACCCCCTTCCCTATGGCAACCAGTCTGTTCTGTGTTCATGAGTCTATTTCTGTTTTGTTTGCTTTTTAGATTCCACATATAAGTGAAATCATATGGTATTTGTGCTTCTCCATCTGACTTATTTCACTTAGCATAATGCCCTGTAGGTCCATCCATGTTGTTGAAAATGGCAAGATTTCATTCTATTTTATGGCTGGGTAGTATTCCTTCATTTTTATGAGAATACATTTTCAGAACTGTCCTTGTGGTTCAAAGCCAATCCACTTCATCATATTCCTCTGAGTACCCCAAAATATGGACAGAATGGAAGAAACAAAGCCATCTCTTTTTCCTATTTTCTGAGTCTTTCTCAATTGAATATTTGCTTCATTTCCTCAAATCTAAGCCACCTAAAATGATATTAAGCAAAACTTATGATGCAAAGATGCCTACTTTTATAGGGACACAACCTAGTTGAATAGGCATGACCTACACTAAAAGACACAACCCAAACCAATATGGGGAAATGCCAAGCCCCATGGAACGCTAGTGCTATAGGACTTGCATCAATTTGCCCACACATAAGTCTCCAAAACCTTAATGGGTTAGGATTCAAGGTTGTTCATTAAACTTTTTAATTGAGATATAATGACATATAATTTGTGTAAGTTTAAGGTGTTGACTTGATACATTTATAAATTGCAACATGATTGCCACCATAGGGTTAGTAACTCCTCTATGAAGTCACACAATTATCATTTTTTGTGGTGAGAACATTTGAGATCTAGTCTCTAAGCAACTTTCAAGTGTACAATACAGTATTGTCAATCATCACTATGCTGTGCATTAGATCTCCAGAACTTATTTTTGAACTGTAACATATATCAAAGAGTACACAAATATAAATGCACAGCTTAATGAATGTAAATACACCTGTGTGCTCACCACTTAGGTAAAGAAATAGAACATTGGATGACACCACAGCATCCCAAAAACCCTCATGTTCAGTTCGATAACCATCAGCTCTCCCTAACGTAATCATCATCTTAGGACCATAAGTTTTTTACCTGTTCTTATGGATATAATAAGTGGAATCATATAGGATCCATTAATCTGTTTCTGGGTGCTTTTGCTCCAAGTTCATGCTTCTGAGATTCATTTACATTGTTGTGAATAACTAGTTCATTTAATCTCATTCCTATAGAATATTCTATTGTGTAAATATGCCATGATTTCTTTATCCATTTTACTATTGATAGATAATTTGAGTTGTTCCCAGTTCTTGATATTACAAATAGTGCTGCTATGAACATTCCTGTACATGCCTTTGGTACACATTTGTACACATTTCCATTGGGTTTGTACTTTAAGAGTAAAATGTCTGGGTGATAACTTGTGTACATACATTAAACTTCAGTCTTTATAGCCAGTTTTCAAAAAGTTTGTACTAATATACACTTTCAACAGCAATATACCAGAGCAGAGTATTACACACCCATCCAAATGGCTAAAATTTATAAAAACTGACAATACTAAGTGCTGATAAGGATGTGGGGCAACTGGGAATCTTGCAGGACTTTGTCTTCAGTAACTCCTGCCCCAGTACACAATGGGTTGATTAGAGGAGGAATTGAGTGCAATATATATCAACAAATGTAAATGTTAGATATGCACTGAAGATAACGCCATTTAAAAAGCAGAGGAGTTTGCACTTGAAGGTACTATTGTTTACTAGGGACATCCAATAATAGTCTGGTGACCTGAGAGTTTTCAAAAAATTTCAGGGTATCTATTTGGGAACAAAAAACTGTCCATAAATAAGGGTGATTAAGAAATACTAGCTTGAATACAATTTCAGTCATCAATATATATGGTGGCAAAAATTCACTTAGAGTATTACTATAAAATTGCCATTCACTTTGATCAGAATCCCCCTAATTGCCTGCTAAATTGACTTTTTGACTATGTAGTATCTTTAACCAAATCTGAATAATATAAAAGAATTTTTATTTTTTAAAAATGTTCTATGACTTTGAAATGGTTGAAAACCAAACCAATAGAGCTTCTCTGTGGCATGCTATTCATTACTATATTAACTTTAGATGGTTTTTCAATGCATGACAATTCTTCCCAGATACTTAGGAATATACATCTTAAATCAGTGACAACTCTGTGCTTTTCTTACATTGGTCTTTGTTGGTTACTATTTCAGTAAAAACTTGAGAAAGCAAGATTGATAGAATGAATAGAACCCACACATAATCAGATTAGTCATAGGAATGCACGCAAGTGGCACAAAGTTCTAAAAATCTATCTGTATTCAGATAGAATTTCTGATCACATGAAAACTAATATGGCTGTTTGGAATTTCTCATTTTGACTTAAATATTTTTTTAAGTATCATGTAATTTTGGGGGGAACTGAACTAGATCATTTGACTGAGCTACAGAGTTTATTAAGGTTCATCATTCTAAAACATATCATTAGTAGAAGCCCATGTTTAATCATAAATTTGTGTCAGATGATGCTCTTTTGTCCAGCTACACAGAGAAATTGGAAGGCCAAACAACTGGTCTGCATGCAGATCTGGATATTCTAGTCTGCAGAAGGTGCTGATATATGATTTTTTTAAACATCGTCTCTATAATCAGATAGTTTGGAGTTGGACTACAGTAAATTGCTTATACCTGTACTGGAATGAAATTTTAGATTTTACATTACCTTCATTTTCCTTACTTTTCTCACAAAAATACAATTCTTTAATATTGTAATTTACATATACCCTGCTTAGGGAACTTAGACAAATATTTAAACAAGAGTGAAACAGAAAATGCAGAAAATAATCTTTCATTTTAATATGTGGGAGAGAGAAATATTTTATCATGTGAATTTTAGTAGTATCAGTTAGAAAGTAAATTCTAAGCCCATCTTTTTCACCATCTTAGCCTATTACTTCTGTAAGTTTAGAAACTACTTGTTTAAAATGCTTACTAAGTATCTGAAGCAATGACATGCCTCTGGGTGAATTCATATCCCCTGCTGATTGATGAAGGTCATCTGGGCTGCTGTCAGCCAGATGGCCCAGCAGCTGGCACTCAGCAGGACGGGATGGCTCTGGTCCCCTGACAGTTTGTTAGCATGCTGACTGAACTGACATCCTCAGTCGATTGTCCCAGCATCACGCTGACACTGCTCTGTGGTGGTCCTAACTTCCCAAGGTATAAAGTGTTCAGTTTAGCCTGCTATGGACAATATCCCACAAGAATGCATGCTTTCAGTGATTTCCTGCTGCAATGTTTATGTGAATATTGGAGGAAAACTCAAGATTCCAGGACTTTCTGAAGAAAGTGGGGATGAGCGTATGGTGGTAGAAGGCAACCAGGCATCCAGGAGTAGGAAGAGGGAGCGAGTGGCAGACAGAGTTCCCTGCGTGGCTCGGTGTGTGTATGTTCCTGTGGTGGCGCCCATTCAGACCTCTGCCTTCACCCAGGGGTAGGGAGAGTGAAATCTCCCAGCTTTCAATCACCTTGCCTAGGCCCTAAGGAAGAAAAGCAAAAGTTAAAGGAAAAAATCTTACCATTTGCAACAACATGGATGGAGCTAAAGGGTATTATGCTCAGTGAAATAAGCCAGGTGGAGAAAGACAAGTATCAACTGATTTCACTCATATGTGGAGTGTAAGAACAAAGAAAAACTGAAGGAACAAAACAGCAGCAGAATCACAGAACCCAAGAATGGACTAACAGTTACCAAAGGGAAAGGGACTGGGGAGGATGGGTGGGAAGGAAGGGAGAAGGGGAAAAAAGGAGGGCATTACTATTAGCACACATGATGTGGGGGTGGGAGGCATGGGGAGGGCTGTTCAACACAGAGAAGACAAGTAGTGATTCTACAGCATCTTACTACGCTGATGTACAGTGACTGTAATGGGGTATGTAGGGGGGACTTGATGATGGGGGGAGTCTAGTAAACATAATGTTGCTCATGTAATTGTAGATTAATGATACCAAAATAAATAAATAAATAAGTTAAGGAAAAGATGCCAGTAACAAGAAGGGATGCCTGCAGACCCAGCATAAGTGTCATCATAAACACACATCATGTCACCTTTGCTTCCCCGGCTCTGCCTTCAGTGGGGAGCTCTTGCCTCCCCCACCCACTCACTTTCAGACTCCTCTCTCTTCTGATAATGCAAAGTACAGGAGGAAAGAGAAAATGCTTGTAAGCCCCGTTTATAATTTTAAACTATCTCTGTTTTCAAGTGGGTTGGATTTCTAATTAACGTTTTTGGAGGCAACTAAATGTGTTTTACACAAGCAACATTTTTAAGGAGGTATATTCAAAACCTTTTAATATTTCTATTTGTTTTCTATTTTTTAGGGAGTTCCTGGACTTGACAATAGCATACAAGGACCAAAGGGCTTAACAGGAGATCGCGGAAGACAGGTAATTATGTGGGCAGTTGATTTCATTCTGTGGCAGCACAGTGAGGAGAGTCTAAACCCTCCAACCTGTACCCCACACACAAGTTAGATGTGGTGATGATCAGATGGAGCCACGTCATTAGCACTTGGTCCCGTGGCTCCTCATTACCTATACAGATGTGACTTGTAGCCAGTGGAATTAGTACCACATTCCAAAGGCAGCACTGCTCTCCATGGAGAGTGTATCCATTCATCCCCAGAGAACAAGCAGATGTGAAGAGGAAATGTGTCAGTGCTGTGTAATTACTGTGATGTTTGTCTGTTCATTTGACAGGGTAGAAGAGGCTGGCCAGGCCCCCCTGGAACACCAGGCTCCAGAAGAAAGATGGTAAGAGCCCTTCCAGACAAGGGGGTCTACAGCTCCTGTTGCCTGCATTGGGGTTACAACAGCTGATGTCAGGAGTGGGTGACCTGTCCCACTGGAGCTTACTGCTTGGCAAACTGACTTGGTCATCTGAGAGTAGAGCTGGGAGGCCTTGGGAAAGCCTGATGCTGAGGCAGATAGGTGCCGGCTGCAGGTAATCACCACGCAGGAAAAAGAGCTGGGCAACGTGAACAAGAAGGCAGCCAATGTGGGGAAGATGGGCAGCATCTGGCCCCCACTAGGCTACCTGAGGCTGCCAGTGATGTCGTTGACCCCCAAAATGTCATTCCTCTGCCAATTTCCTGACTACTTAGAAAAGTCAGTCCTGGTGTAAGTCCTCTGTTCTTACCTCATTTTCTCTGCCTTGCAAGGAAGAGGAGTGTGTTCCAAGATACAAAAATATTTTCTTGATGGAGTAAAATAGCTGGTTCTATGAACTTCTGCTCAGAAAATATAATGCATAATAATGCAATGTATTGAACTAGTTTTTATTTGTGCTCAATTTAAAAATATTATATATATTTTATTGAGATGTAGCATTATATTAGTTTCAGGTGTATAACATGATTTGATATGTGTATAAATTCCAAAATGATCACACACAGTAAGTTTAGTTAACATCCGTCATTACACAGTTACAAATGTTTTTTTCTTTTGCCAAAAACTTATAAGATCTAGTCTCTTAGCAACTTTCAAATAGGATACAGCAGTAATTACAGTCACCATGCTGTGCATTATATCCCATGACTATTTTTGTAACTAGAAGTTTGTAGCTTTTGATCCCCTTCACCCATTTCACCCACCCTCATACCCCTACGTCTGGTAACCACCATTCTGTTCTCTGTATTTATGAGTTTTTTTTAAGATTCCACATATAAGTGAAACCATACAGTAGTTTTTTCTGACTTATTTCACTTAGCAAAATGTCCTCAAGATCCATCCCTGTTCTCACAAATTGCAAGATTTCCTTCTTTTTTGTGGCTGAATAATATTCCTGTGTGTGTGTATCACATTTTCTTTTTCTGTTGATGGATACTTCCATGCCTTGGCTATTATAAATAATGCTGCAGCAAACATGGGGGTGCAGATGTCATTCTAAGTAAGAGTTTTTGTTTCCTTTGAATAAATGCCAAGTGGAATTGCTGGATTATATGGTAGTTCTATGTTTAATTTTTTGAGGAACCTCAACACTATCAAAAACATTATATATTTTTATGGGCATAAAAATGAGGAATTTTTTCTCAAGACAGTGGCATAAGTAGGGTGGTGGAAATCACCCAAAACCATATGTATTTTGGAAAATACAGCAAATACAACTATTCTTAAGAGAGAGACCAGAAGATACAGTACAGCCAGGCTACATCTACATCTGTGAGAACTCAGCATCTCATGAAAAGGGGAAGATACAAAGCCATGACCTGGCAAGACCCAAGCACTCCCCAAGCTGCAGCTCACCAGAGGGAGGAAAAGAATCAGAGTGGGGAGGGAGTGGAAGCACAGGACTGCTAATTAACCAGCTCTAGTAATCTGCACCGGAAGCACAGAAACACATTGCATGGTGTAGAGGACATTAAAGAAGTTGAAAAGTAAAACCTGAGACTGAGACTGTGAACAGGTCCCCACAGCCAGCTGCCCTGAGAAAAATAAAAGTGGGTTCTTTAAAAGTCTTAAAGGGACAAGGGCTTAACAGGTAGACAAAATCGTCCTTGCACACTCAGCCCAGCAGGGTGGGAATTTTAAGGAACTTCAGGCGCCTTAATCCCCTGGGTGGCAACACAGCTCTGAAGCCCCTCATGATGATAAGTAGCCTACTGTTCACTCCCCACTGCCAGCACTGCAGACAAACCAGATGACCTGCCATTGCTTTGGACCTGCTGGGGAGCAGCCCCACCCACAACAACCACACAGAGTCTTCTCCCAAACAGGACCAGACCCAGAGGCTGCTGCCAGCCTGCAGCTACCCCGCACAGACAGAAGAAGCCAGTGTAAAGTCCGGAAGGCACAAAGGGACACCATTCTCACAGGAGAACATACAACACATGCCTGTGACCCCTGCCAGTGCCCTAGGCTATCCCAAGGGCTGCCCTGCCCATGGCAGCTCAGGGGATTAGCCAGAGATTGTGCCCTGTGTGTGGTTAACTGGAACAGGTGGCAGAGAAGGGCAAGGTGACCAGCAAGCAGGAAGGAACTTTGTTCTCCCAGCTGACACATGTGTCACTCACTGGCAATCACTTCTCTTGCTGTGAACAGGCAGAAGAACCTGGTCCAGTCCAAAATCACTCAAATGCCAGAGAGAGGGCCTGGTGAGACTGATATAACCAATCTTCCTGAAAAAAAATTCAAAATACAAGTCATAACCATGCTGATAGAGCTGCAGAGAAACAGGCAAGAGCTAAGGGATGAATTCTAGAGGGAGATAACAGAAATGAAACAAACAATGGGAGGATTTAAGAGCAGATTGGATGAGGTGCAAGAGACTGTTAGTTGAATAGAAATAAGAGAACAGGAATACAGAAAAGCTGAGGCAGAGAGAGATAAAAGGATCTCTAGGAATGAAAGAATATTAAGAAAACTGTGTGATCAATCCAAACGGCACAATATTCACATTATAGGGATGCCAGAAGAAGAAGAGAGAGAAAAAGGGTTAGAAAGTGTCTTTGAAGAAATAATTGCTGAAAACTTCCCCAAACTGAGGAAGGAAATAGTCTCTCAGACCATGGAAGCCCACAGATCTCCCATGACAAGGGACCCAAGGAGAACAACACCAAGATATATAATAATTAAAATGGCAAAGATCAAAGACAAGGACAGGGTATTAAAAGCAGGGAGAGAGAGAAAAAAAGATCACCTACAAAGGAAAACCCATCAGGGTATCATCACACTTTCCAACAGAAACCTTACAGGCCTGAAGAGAATGGCATGATATATTTAATGAAATGAAACAGAAGGGCCTTGAACCAAGAATACTTTATCCAGTAAGATCATCATTTAAATTTGAAGGAGAGATTAAGCAATTCCCAGTTAAGCAAAAGTTGAGGGAATTTCCCTCCCACAAACCACTTCTGCAGTGTATTTTAAAGGGACTGCTCTAGATGGAAGTACTCCTAAGACTAAAAAGATATCAACAGAAAAATAAATTCAAAGCAAAGAAAGCAGACCAACCAAATACTAACCAAAGGCAAAAAATAAAATCAGCTATCCACAAAATCAGCCAGGCAAAGCATAAAAGAGTACAGAATAAAATGCACAAAATATAAAGAGTAGAGAAGGAAGGAAAAGGGAGAGAAATAAAGAATCATCAGACTGTGTTTATAATAACGTAATAAGTGAGTTAAACTTAGACAGTTAGATAGTAAAGAAGCTACCCTTGAACCTTTGGTACCATGAATCCAAAGCCTGCAATGGCAATAAGTACATATCTATTGATAATCACCCTAAATGTAAATGGACTGAATGCACCAATCAAAAGACACAGACTAACAGAATGGATAAAAAAGCAAGACCCATCTATATGTTGCTTACAAGAGACTCACCTCAAACCCAAAGATATACACACACTAAAAGTGAAGAGATGGAAAAAGATAATTCATGCAAACAACAGGGAGAAAAAAGCAGGTGTTGCAGTACTTGTATCAGACAACATAGACTTCAAAACAAAGAAAGTAACAAGAGATAAAGAAGGACATTACATAATGATAAAGGGGGCAGTCCAACAAGAAGATATAACTATTATAAATATCTATGCACCCAACACAGGAGCACCAACGCATGTGAAACAAATACTAACAGAATTAAAGGAGGAAACAGAATGCAATGCATTCATTTTAGGGGACTTCAACACACCACTCACTCCAAAGGACAGACAACCAGACAAATAATAAGTAAGGACACAGATGCACTGAACAACACCCTAGGACAGATGGATCTAACAGACATCTACAGAACTCTACACCCAAAAGCAGCAGGATACACATTATTCTCAAATGCACATGGAACATTCTCCAGAATAGACCACATACTAGGCCACAAAAAGAGCCTCAGTAAATTTAAAAAGATTGAAATTCTACTAACAAACTTCTCAGATCACAAAGGTATAAAACTAGAAATAAATTGTACAAAGAAAACAAAAAGGCTCACAAACACATGGAGGCTTAACAACATGCTCCTAAATAATCAATGGATCAATGACCAGATTAAAACAGAGATCAAGCAATATATGGAAACAATGAAAACAACAACACAATGTCCCAACTTCTGTGGGACACAGCAAAAGCAGTTCTAAGAGGAAAGTATATAGCAATCCAGGCCTATTTAAAGAAGGTAGAGCAATCCCAAATGAATAGTCTAAATTCACAGTTATTGAAACTGGGAAAAAAAGAATAAATGAGGCCCAAAGTCAACAGAAGCAGGGACAAAATAAAGATCAGAGAAGAAATAAATAAAATTGAAAAGAATAAAACAATAGAAAAAATTAATGAAACCAAGAGTTGGCTCTTTGAGAAAATAAACAGAATAGATAAGCCTCTAGCCAGACTTATTAAGAGAAAAAGAGAATCTACACACATAAACAGAATCAAAAATGAGAAAGGAAAAATCACGACGGACCCCACAGAAATACAAAGAATTATTAGAGAATACTATGAAAATCTATATCCTAACAAACTGGATAACCTAGAAGAAATGGACAATGTTCTAGAAAAATACAACCTTCCAAGACTGACAAAGGAAGAAACAGAAAATCTACACAGACCAATTACCAGCAATGAAATTGAATTGGTAATCAAGAAACTACCGAAGAACAGAACTCCCGGGCCAGATGGCTTTACTGCTAAATTTTATCAGACGTTTAGAGAAGATGTAATACCCATTCTCCTTAAAGTTTCCCCAAAAATAGAAGGGGAGGGAATACTTCCAAACTCATACTATGAAGCCAGAATCACTCTAATACCAAAACCAGGCAAAGA